TATCTTCTTCACAATACCCCATAGATTTGCTGTGGGGCTGAGGTCAGGCGAGTTTGCTGGCCAATCAAGAACAGGGATACCATGGTCCTTAAACCAGGTACTGGTAGCTTTGGCACAGTGGGCAGGTGCCAAGTCCTTGGTCAGCAGCAGGCAACATGAAGTAATCTAAAAGACGGTTGCTTTGAACTTGGACCTCAGAAAACACAATGGACCAACACAATGGACCACCCTAAACCATCATTGACTGTGGAAACTTTACACTGGACCTCAAGCAACGTGGATTCTGTGCCTCTCCTCTCTTCCTCCACACTCTGGTCTACTGACGCTGCCTCTTGTTTCAAGAGTGTCTTGACACAAGTAACGCGACAGCTGAAACCCATGTTTTGCACATGTCTGTTCATGAGCACTGACTCCAGCTGCAGTCCACTCTTTGTGAATCTCCTCCAAATTTTTGAATGGGTTGTTTCACGATCCTCTCCAGCATGCAGTCATCTCGACTGCTTGTACACATTTTAGTCTGTCCTTTCCTTTTAATGTGCTTTGACAGAGCTCTGAACAGCCAGCCTTTTTAGCAATGACCTTGTGTCTTGCCCTCCTTGTGCAAGGTGTCAATGGTCCTCCCCATGGCCTACAGAACTAGACTGAGAAACCATTTAAAGGCTTTTGCAGGTGTTTTGTGTTAATAAGCTGATTAGAGTGTGGTAGCAGGGGGTCATCAATATTGAAGCTTTTCACAAGATTCTAATTTTCTGAGATACTGAATTCGGTATTTTCAATAGTTGTCAGTTGTAACGTCACGAAATGGACTGATTTTAAAGATCCCACAGGTTAAATGCAGCCAGAGCAAGTAACCCTGGCTACTACATGTTTGCTGTATCTTCTCTTGTGTCAGGAGTCTGTACAACTCAGCATTTTAATCAGATGACTTCATCAGCTGAGCACAGCTTCATCAGACAATAAAGATGAACAGTAGCATTCCTTTCCCCAAGGCCCTTCACAAGAGAACTGTTTTAGATAAATATTTTTATTCTCCAAAAGAAAAGAAGATCTTATAATTCAAAATAGTCATTATGAACTTTTGTTATTATAAGCAATGAAATGTTCAGGAATCTGTATTCAGTAATGGTTTAGTATGTTTACTGGATGGTCATCACCATTTGCTCACACACCAGACAAAAGTCAGGTTCAAATTAAGAACGCATGACACATAACTAGCCTTGTCCCTAGACTCAGAGACTCTGCATCTCAGAGCGTGTGTTTCTGAGATTCTTGGTAAGTTGGTAATAGATAACAGCGGGTGTATAAATCAGCCGTTCTGCTTTCTCGTCAGCCATGAGAGCAAGCTGGAGACTGGCCATCTCTTAGCAGATCTCTAGCTCAGAAAGATTTTGACACGCTGTTAAAAACTTAAAGCTTTTTGCACCTGCGAACAACAAGATAGTCTTCCTGCAGAACAAAGCTGACTCAAACTCCTTCAGAGTTGATTTTAAGACGCTTGGTTCCATTCATCTAGCGTTGACCCGGAGGCATCTGAGGACTGATTTGGACGCATCGAGGTTTCTCTACGAACCAGGTGCAGCGGGGTCGTCAGCTCCTGGACATCTCGGATCCAATCGGGATCTCCAAATGGGTGAGGTAGACACAACGACTACGCGTCTGCATGTGGTTCTGATAATAGCAACTTAATAGTTTAGATGCAAACCAAATTCTTTTATATCCAGAACGCACCTCTCTGAAGATACAGAGAATCCGATTCATCATCTCATATTCACACACAGTTTTCAGACACCCATCTTTTAGCTCCATCCACTCACAGGATGATAGTTTAAACCATTTGTCAAAGTTTTAATTGTTTGTAAAATAAATTCTTATTTGTTTGCAAACACCGACTGGTTCTGGAATCATAACGAAGTGTGAACGATCCCTTAATAATTAAAAGAATCCTAGAACTTTCTAATTAATCATCCTAAGACCAAGCAAGGTGATGTTCTATAATAATAGATTATTACAGCTATCGGTCACAAGTAATGAGAATAGAAATAAACAGCTTTTAAAGCAATTTATTTAGCCCACATTACTCTACTATTTTCCATTACGCAGTTATAACAATCAAAATAAAATAAAAACATTTGAAATCTATCAGTCTGTGTGTAACAAATGAATTTAATACACCAATTTAATTTTTTGAATGGATTTACTAAAATAAATAAACTCTAATTTTATGACCGGCACCTGTACAAAGCACATTAATATTCTGACCTGGGTGAGTACAGTTCTGGTGGCCAGCCACAATGCCACCACAACACAAAAATATGAAAATATGAACATAAAAGTTAAAAATAGTTTATTTACATCAACACAGTTGCAGAGGGGAAAGTCCACTGTAGACACTCGACTGGGGGCCACACAACTCCGAGGGCAGCAAATGGTCCCAGGGCCACACTCCCAACCCGTCGGCATCAGGGGGTTCATTCATTAATCTCTATAAAAACAGCATGTTTAGTAGAAACATCCAACAATGAAAGTTTTATTTATTCACAGCTAGTGAATAAATGGAGGTGGTCATAGATTTTCTTCTTCACGGAGAAAGGCTCATTTACACGAAAATCCAAATTTAAAGAGCAGCATTGTGGCAAAGTTGGTAGCACTGCTGTCTCACAGCAGTAAGGCTGCAGGTTCTAATCCCATCTGAGGCCTTTCTGCATGTTCAGGTATTCAAGCGTCATCCCACAAACCAAAACCATACATAAAGTTAGCTGGAGACTCTAAAGTGTCCCTACAGATTTGGGTGTGCGGCTGATTGTTGGTCCCTACTGTCCTGTCCAAGGTGTCCCACGTCCCACCTGCTGATTACTGAGAGAGAAGATGTTCAGGTAATGGATGGAACTAATCTAATCTGTTCATAAAATCACTTGAGATCTTTGCCTTAGAGGTTCTAGGGAGTTTGGATTTCACTAAACATTAAAATAATTTACCAGCTGCTGTTTTCATATGACACATAAAATACACCATTACTTATTTTAAATAACGGTTCAAAACCAAAAGAGCAACAAAATACTGTAAAACTCCTGCCATGAAAGACCACACATGGTTTATTAGTCAAGATCCATTTAATGAAATAAATGTATATTTATAAAACAATAAATTAAAGCGTAGCATCATTTGCCAGAAAACATCTGCTTTTTTGAAAAACAACATTTGAACAGTGTGACAACAAAACATCAAAGTTACAGTAATGAATCCAAACAGAATAAAGTTATTTAACAGGTAACTAAAATAACACCGAGTAATGAGAAGCTCAGGTAGGGGTGTGATTCAGAGCCTGGCGAGCCAGCTTCAGGTTCTCTCTCAGCTCCTCTGCCTCTCGCTCTCCTCTCGCTCCGACCACATTCAGCTCGGTCAGCACGTCCTTGTACCTCTTTGTAGCGTTCCTCTTGTCCTACGACAGAAACTAGTTGTTAGTTTATGTTTTTAGTTTATTGATGAAGTAGCTGTGTTTAGTTTGAGACATCCACCTGCAGCGCTGCCTGCAGCTCGTCCTTTAGGGACGCGACCTCCTGCTGTAAACACTGAACCTCCGAGTCCTTCAGTCTCAGAGTGATCTGCAACAAAAGAGTCAGATAGGATGGGCCTGATGTCTGTCAGCAAGCTGCTACGTCACACCTACAGCAGGGCCTCCCAGACTGCAGCTTCCAAACCACCAGGTAACACCAGCAGAGATGTGAGACCATTAGAGCACAGCCGTCTCTGGTAGGACAACAACAGCAAAACAGGAACCTGATCCAAACGCAGGCTTAGACTTCAAATGGAAGGTCAATTGTTTAGTCTTCATAGTTAAAGCATGTTTTGAAGAAACAGATAAAATAACAAATATGTAAAATAAAAAAAGCATGCAAGCTGCATGGTGCCAACACTGCTGCCTCACAACTAGCAGGCCACAGGTGTTAATCCCTGTGGTCTTTTCTGCATGGAGCTGGCATGCTGTCTCCATGCATGTGTGTGTGTGTGGTACTCTGGTTCTCTCCTCCAGACCAAAACATGCATGTTGGGTTAACTGGAGACTCAAAATGTGTTCCTATATGGTTGTTTGTCTCTGTGGGTCCTTGTGATGGACTAGAGACCTGTCCAGGGTCCCCTGCCTCTCACCCTTTGTGACTGCTGGAGACGGACACCAGCTTTATAAGGATGAAGCGGTTTAGATGCTAAGTGGATATGAGGATATTTTAAAATAGAAATTATTAGCATACTATTTTACGGTCACAGTTTGTACATTATTACTTTACATTATGTTCCAGTCTGGAGCTCCCTAGTTGGGAACAAGGCCGGATTAACCATATGGGCAACTGGGCAATTGCCCAGGGCCCACAAACTCTACAGGGCCCAGGGCAGCAAGGGCACGAGCAAAATACTGTATCTGTAATCTCAAGCTTTATATTAAACTAGGGTGACCGTACGTCCTGTTTTCCCCGGACATGTCCACTTTTCACTCTCTGTCCGGGCGTCCGGACTCGGGGCGGGGGGGGGGGGGGTTCTTGTATTGATGAAAATGTCCGGCTTTTCATCCAGGAGCAGGGATCGATTTATGGGGAGCTGGATATCCTACACATCCAGGGGAGCCGGAAAAAAGTTTTCTACCTATATTACATCATTTATGGACTCTTCTGAGCAGAGAGCACAGAGAGCGGCACAGCGCTGATCGTTGTTGCACAGCGCTCCAGGCTGCTGCGTCCAGCGCACGGTCCATTCTCAAAGTGGCGCAACCAAAAAACTATAATTAGCACACGATCGTTCATGTCCGCACATGTTCTCTACTTTCTGTCTTATTTGCGCCTGAAGCGCTCTGCTACTGCGGAGCTCATCACCTGTGCTGCGGTGATGTCACCTCACTGACGCAGCATCGAAACGCGCTCTCTGCTTTGCAGTCAGGAGATCCTTTGATCTGCTCAGAAGTAACTGATGAGGTGAAAAAGTAAGAATCCAGGCAGCAGTTTTTCTGGAGAGTTTAGAGGAGATGCAGGAAGATGAGAGACAGACAGGACAGGAAATAGTTAAATAAAAGCAAGAAAACAAAAACTAAAATGTAGGTAGATTTATCTCCACTACACGTTTTTACCTGTATAAAACAATAAGTTATACACATGTAATATTTATACATCTGATACAGTTCAGATCACCTTCAACACTCAGTCACACACCCAGGGCCGTTTCAAGACATTTTGGGGGCCAAGGCAAAAAGCCTCCCCAGAAGCCTCTGTGTAATCCATACCTTCTCCAGGAGTGTTAGTTATACAGTGTTTGTAAAAGCCCCTCAGACATTACTGACATGTTCTAATATTATCAGATGAGAAACTAAATTATCACACATGCTGTCTCATCTGCTGCTTTTCTAAACTTGTAAAAAGTAACAAAACTATTTGAAAGCCACTATTTGTGTGTGACAACTTATTTTTTAATTGATCCTATCGTCTAATCTCACAGCTGAAACAAGCATCCTTAATAATCTGTGCACAGGAAGCGTACTGATGCTGTTGTAAAACAAAAGGTATGATAGAATAGAATAGAAAACTTTGTTTGTCAATTTCTTCAAATGTGCTCGTCATACAAAGGAATTTAAATTACGTTTCACACTGTCCCATGCGTAGACATTGACAACATAAAGTGCAGATGCACAACAAAAACAGCCCTAACAATAAAGTAATATTAAATAGGTAACAGGATAGACAAGACCTAACCTATAATCAAATAAATTAAATAAGGTGTTCCAACAGTGTTCCCTGGAAGTAGTATACTAGTCTACTTGAGGTAGTCCCAGGTTGTGGTAGTCAGTGTTGGGAGTAATGCCGTTTAAATGTGTAGCGTTATGGATATGCTATTTCTGCCCTTAACAGCTGCCCTTTTCCACAGTGACAGCATGCATGAATTGCCACGGTTGTGTGCTTGCTTCTGATGTTTACATTCCAGCAAAGAAGACAGAAGAAGGACGAAGAACGCTTTTCATTAGTTAATCAAAGAACTTTATTTGTAATAAAGCTAATCAAAACAACTGTTGGTCAGTAATAATCAGGTGACTGATCTGTGAAATCACAATGTATGATTTATGTGTTTAATGAATTAACAGGACTGAGCTAGACACCCTGATCCACATAAGGTAAACACATGACACATTGTTCATTCATCCAATCAGAACTTCCTTTCTGTTGCGAGGCAGAGTTCTGTGATGTTTAGTTAATCTGTCCACTCCGGTTGGCTAAGAATCATAAACAACTAAGCTTAATAAAACAGAACAACGCCATTTTTAATTCAGTTCCATCTGAGTTTCCATCGACTTCCAACGAAGCTCTTCAACGTAGCTCGACCAGCTCTCAAATCCATCATCGCTAAGTGAAGTGCAGACTGGCCAGCTGTATTTTCTACTTTTAAGCTGAGAACTGTCAAGCTGGAAAACTCTGTTGTTTTATCAACAAGACGACGGTTCCTTCAGAATAAAAGCTGAACTCTCCACGTGACGCCGAAACCTGCCGTCGTACCGTGAGTCGATCCGTAGACTGGTTTGTCGTGCTGCAGACACTGTGCTATCAGTTCCAGCACCAAAGGAGGGTCCGAGGACCTGGCATTCCGGATCATACACGGGAGTCTCCGAAGGTACGTAGATCGGCATAGATGGCGTTTCATGTCTCTTCCTCCTGAAGTCCCTCGTGGTTAGTTAGTCAAAACAACATCTTGCACTCGGACCTGCCTCCATCAGAACGGAGATTCTGAGTTGACACACACACACTCACACACTAACACTTCAGCTCACATCCATTTGCATCCATCATTAGTGAGTTAGTCCTGGTGATTGTTTCGAATAATTATAAAAATAAATATTCTTAAACGTCCCATATTTCTCTTTTCTTGTCTCTAAGTCAATACAAAGTGTTTGAATAAAATTCCCTGTGGTAAAAACAACCTCTTCTGATTCTAAGGGAAGATTAACCTCTGTACCTTAATAAGTGTAAGAATATACCAACTATATTCTGCTACGTTTCTAACGGCGTTCTTTTTTAGGTAACGGAATAATCTAATAATTACTTTTCCCACTGTTGCAACGCCGTTACCGTTACTGGGGATGGAAGGTTGTGCGTTACTATGTGCTTGTCGAACGTTGAGCAACAGTGTGAGGCTTTCTGACCGCCACACTTCAGCTGCAGCCAGGGAGAGAGAGGCGTCGGTAACGCACTTACAAACACCATGATGATTGGCCGGGTGGGCGGAGACCCTCACGGTCTCAGTCGCTGCATGCTGTAGACCCAACAGAGCAGTGATGGGAATAACGCTGTTTAAAATAATCACGTTAATAAAAAAATATTTCTTTCAGTAACGAGCAAACTAATTAATTATCGTCTTCTTTTAACAAAACGATCGTTTCTGGTACTGATAAGGAAATGCGTGCGTTAAGCAGCGCGGTGTGTTGAAGCTGTCATCAGCTGATCAGGAGCTAAAGAGGCAGATGTTTTCATCCAAGAGCATCACGGCCGTGAAGAACGAGGAAGACGTGATGAATATCTACGGCTGCAGACCCGCTGCGAATCTGCGGGTCTGCAGCTGTGCTCTTCTTGGCGTGACAGCGGGACGTCCCGAAGGTCAGCTCACCTGTTCACCGCTCAGACGTCCTGATCTTCCACCTTCCTAGATCATCCAGCTGTAACCTGTTTCTGATCATGTCTTTAGTCCCGCTGTAACACTGATGCATCAGTCTCAGACGTCATGGAGCTCAGGTGTTATTAGAACTACCTGTGTGTGTTCACCACCCAGCTTCAGCTCTTCTGTGGTTGGGTCTGACCCAGGTTAGTAAATGTAAGTCCTCCATCAGGCTCGTGCCTCTTCTAGTGTCATTTTAAAGGATTTTATTTATTTAACCATTACTAGATTACCCGCAACAGAAATGCTGCTAATAACACACAATTATGTCAAGCTGGATAAATTAAAATACTGTACAAAATTACATTTATTTCTGTAATTTAACTAGACTGAGAGACCATTTAAAGGCTCGGGAACCTTTACAGGTGTTTCTATTTGCAATTTTACATTTTAGCTGATTGGGGTCTTGTTAAATATCACACAGTGACCTTTTAATAGTCTAGATACGTGTAATGTTCCTGTTAGTAGTTCCTCCTGTTAAGTGCTTATTTATTTAAATTATTCAGGTTTATGAAAACATTTGGACATTTTATTATGTTCAGTCATTAGTCATTTATATTTCACTATTGTAGTAATTCTTGCATTCTTTAATGAAAAAAGTAACTAAGTAGTTATTTTTCTTGGTAATTAGTTACTTTTCTAATCTTGTAACTCAGTTAGTAACTGAGTTACTTTTTTGACAAAGTAATCAGTAACTATAACTAATTACTTTTTTAAAGTAACGTTCCCAACACTGGTGGTAGTTAGGGGTTTATGTTTTAATGCAGCATAAGACTATAGCCGCAGTAATAGTAATATAAGTAATGTAAATAGCACTAAAAATATATAGCAGCAGGTGTGTGCAATTGCAATGCAGAGGTAGTTGTTTCCAATCAGGAATGTTTCCCAGTTCTTGGTTCAACGAGTATTTCCTTGTTGGAAAGTGTGCGTGGATGGGGGGTAGGGGGGGTAGAGTCCAGTCTGTCTTCCTATACTTCTGTCACACTGGTGATTCTGCTGGCTGGGAGCTGGGAGGGAAGAGAGTTCAGCAGTCTCACAGCCTGGTGGATGAAGCTGTTGGTGAGCCTGATAGTGCGGGAGCGGAGACTTCTGCATCTCTTTCCAGAGGGCAGGAGGCTGAACAGACAGTGCGCAGGGTGGGTTGCGTCGTTGACAATTGTGATGGCTTTGCGGGTGAGGCGAGTGGTGTAAATGTCTTGCAGGGAGGGGAGTGGTACACCAACTATCCTCTCAGCTGTTCTCACAATGTGTTGTAGAGCTTTCCTGTTATAGTCAGTGCAGCTACCGCCCCACACAGCGATACAGCTGGAGAGGATGCTTTCAATAGTTCCTCTGTAGAATGTGATCAGGATGGGTGGTGGAGCACTTGCCCGCTTGAGTTTGCGCAGGAAGTAGAGGCGCTGTTGTGCTTTCTTGGCCAGTGAAGCTGTGTTGATGGTCCAGGAGAGGTCCTCCCTGATGTGCACCCCCAGGAACTTGGTGCTGCTCACCCTCTCCACCGCAGCGCCGTCGATGGTCAATGGGGTAGCTGGTGTGGCCTCTTTGGAAGTTGACAATGATCTCCTTGGTCTTACTAACATTTAGCTGGAGGTTGTTGTCTCTGCACCAAGTGGTCAGGAGCTCAACCTCTTTCCTGTAGTGGGGCTCATCGCCCTTGGTGATGAGCCCCACCAGCGTTGTGTCGTCCGCAAACTTCACAAGGTGGTTGGAGCTGTAGGTTGGTGTGCAGTCATGTGTCAGCAGGGTAAAGAGCAGAGGACTGAGCACACAGCCTTGTGGAGCCCCCGTGCTCAGGGTGATGCTGTTTGAGACCTTGTTGCCCACACGCACCACTTGCGGCCTCTGGCTGAGGAAATCCAGCAGCCTGTTGCAAAGGGAGGTGCTGAGGCCCAGTCTGTCCAGTTTACAGATGAGTTGTTGTGGTATTATGGTGTTGAATGCTGAGCTAAAGTCTATGAACAGCATTCTCACATATGAGTCTTTCTTGTCCAGATGAGTTAGGGCTGGGTGGAGGGCAGAGCAGATTGCATCCTCTGTGGATCGTTTCGCTCTGTATGCGAACTGGTATGGGTCCAGAGTGGGAGGTAGGGTGAATTCGATATGTGACATGACTAGTCGTTCAAAGCACTTCATAATAATGGGTAGGGCGGCACGATATTAGGAAAACCTACGATATTTGATAACAGTGCTTAATATTGCGATATCGATATTACTCACGATAAATTAACTAATACTAAAGTATGCAGTGTTGATGTCGTCTGGCGTGTGACGTCTGCTCTGGGTTCAAAGCAAACAAAAACTAATGCATGAATTCCATTACAACAACATTTTTATTGCAAAAATATGCAGCTGCACCTGCTACTGTATTAGCAGCTGCACCTGGTACTGTATTAGCAGCTGCACCTGGTACTGTATTAGCAGCTGCACCTGCTACTGTATTAGCAGCTGTACCCGCTACTGTATTAGCAGCTGTACCTGCTACTGTATTAGCAGCTGCACCTGCTACTGTATTAGCAGCAGCACCTGCTACTGTATTAGAGGCTGCACCTGCTACTGTATTAGAGGCTGCACCTGCTACTGTATTAGAGGCTGCACCTGCTACTGTATTAGCAGCCGCGCCCGCTACTGTATTAGCAGCCGCACCTGCTACTGTATTAGAGGCTGCACCTGCTACTGTATTAGCAGCTGCGCCTGCTACTGTATTAGCAGCTGCACCTGCTACTGTATTAGCAGCAGCACCTGCTACTGTATTAGCAGCTGCACCCGCTACTGTATTAGCAGCTGCACCTGCTACTGTATTAGCAGCTGCACCTGCTACTGTATTAGCAGCAGCACCCTCTACTGTATTAGCAGCTGCACCTGCTACTGTATTAGCAGCTGCAACCGCTACTGTATTAGCAGCTGCACCAGCTACTGTATTAGCAGCTGCACCAGCTACCACCTGCTACTGTATTAGCAGCTGCACCTGCTACTGTATTAGCAGCTGCACCTGCTACTGTATCAGCAGCCGCACCTGCTACTGTATCAGCAGCTGCACCTGCTACTGTATTAGCAGCTGCACCTGCTACTGTATCAGCAGCCGCACCTGCTACCGTATTAGCAGCTGCACCTGCTACCGTATTAGCAGCCGCACCTGCTACCGTATTAGCAGCCGCACCTGCTACTGTATCAGCAGCTGCACCCGCTACTGTATTAGCAGCTGCACCCGCTACTGTATTAGCAGCTGCACCTGCTACTGTATTAGCAGCTGTACCCGCTACTGTATTAGCAGCTGTACCTGCTACTGTATTAGCAGCTGCACCTGCTACTGTATTAGCAGCAGCACCTGCTACTGTATTAGAGGCTGCACCTGCTACTGTATTAGAGGCTGCACCTGCTACTGTATTAGCAGCTGCGCCTGCTACTGTATTAGCAGCCGCACCCGCTACTGTATTAGCAGCCGCACCTGCTACTGTATTAGAGGCGGCACCTGCTACTGTATTAGCAGCTGCACCTGCTACTGTATTAGCAGCTGCACCTGCTACTGTATTAGCAGCAGCACCCTCTACTGTATTAGCAGCTGCACCTGCTACTGTATTAGCAGCTGCACCCGCTACTGTATTAGCAGCCGCACCTGCTACTGTATTAGAGGCTGCACCTGCTACTGTATTAGCAGTTTTACCCGCTACTGTATTAGCAGCTGTACCTGCTACTGTATTAGCAGCTGCACCTGCTACTGTATTAGCAGCAGCACCTGCTACTGTATTAGAGGCTGCACCTGCTACTGTATTAGAGGCTGCACCTGCTACTGTATTAGCAGCTGCACCTGCTACTGTATTAGCAGCAGCACCTGCTACTGTATTAGAGGCTGCACCTGCTACTGTATTAGAGGCTGCACCTGCTACTGTATTAGAGGCTGCACCTGCTACTGTATTAGCAGCCGCGCCCGCTACTGTATTAGCAGCCGCACCCGCTACTGTATTAGCAGCCGCACCTGCTACTGTATTAGAGGCTGCACCTGCTACTGTATTAGCAGCTGCGCCTGCTACTGTATTAGCAGCTGCACCTGCTACTGTATTAGCAGCAGCACCTGCTACTGTATTAGCAGCTGCACCCGCTACTGTATTAGCAGCTGCACCTGCTACTGTATTAGCAGCTGCACCTGCTACTGTATTAGCAGCAGCACCCTCTACTGTATTAGCAGCTGCACCTGCTACTGTATTAGCAGCTGCACCAGCTACTGTAGTAGCAGCTGCACCAGCTACCACCTGCTACTGTATTAGCAGCTGCACCTGCTACTGTATTAGCAGCTGCACCTGCTACTGTATCAGCAGCCGCACCTGCTACTGTATCAGCAGCTGCACCTGCTACTGTATTAGCAGCCGCACCTGCTACTGTATCAGCAGCCGCACCTGCTACCGTATTAGCAGCTGCACCTGCTACCGTATTAGCAGCCGCACCTGCTACCGTATTAGCAGCCGCACCTGCTACTGTATCAGCAGCTGCACCCGCTACTGTATTAGCAGCTGCACCCGCTACTGTATTAGCAGCTGCACCTGCTACTGTATTAGCAGCTGTACCCGCTACTGTATTAGCAGCTGTACCTGCTACTGTATTAGCAGCTGCACCTGCTACTGTATTAGCAGCAGCACCTGCTACTGTATTAGAGGCTGCACCTGCTACTGTATTAGAGGCTGCACCTGCTACTGTATTAGCAGCTGCGCCTGCTACTGTATTAGCAGCCGCACCCGCTACTGTATTAGCAGCCGCACCTGCTACTGTATTAGAGGCTGCACCTGCTACTGTATTAGCAGCTGCACCTGCTACTGTATTAGCAGCTGCACCCGCTACTGTATTAGCAGCTGCACCAGCTACTGTATTAGCAGCTGCACCTGCTACTGTATTAGCAGCTGCACCTGCTACTGTATTAGCAGCTGCACCAGCTACCACCTGCTACTGTATTAGCACCTGCACCTGCTACTGTATTAGCAGCTGCACCTGCTACTGTATCAGCAGCCGCACCTGCTACCGTATTAGCAGCTGCACCTGCTACCGTATTAGCAGCCGCACCTGCTACCGTATTAGCAGCTGCACCTGCTACTGTATCAGCAGCTGCACCCGCTACTGTATTAGCAGCTGCACCCGCTACTGTATTAGCAGCTGCACCTGCTACTGTATTAGCAGCTGCACCTGCTACTGTATTAGCAGCAAAACAACAAACTGCATGCATGCAGTTTCTCAGTGACTTTAAAACATCACCTCCACCATAAAACTTTTTCTGATCCTCCAAATACAGAAAAACATCCCTTACCAGGGTTTTTGAATAAATAAAAAAATCAGAAAATACGTTTAAATGTTAAATAATAGTTAACATCACTTACATGCAACAGCAAATTCTCTCATTGCTACTGAGCATTTTCTCCACTTATGTGGTTATGATATAAGGCTGTTGCTGTAACTGGGAAGTGAACTGTGCTGGGCCAAACTAGGAGAATATTAAGATTTTCTGAGGGAAAGAAAAACTATTGTCTACCTTTCAGAAGATGAACTGGCAAAAAACTACATGGAAAATATGTGAAAATGTTTGTTTTTAACCCCAAATTGAACAAGTTTACCTAGATGTTAAAAAGCAGCTCAGATGATGAAACTGCAACTATGATTCTGATAACAAGCTAACAAATTGAACTAGCTCCTCTTAAGATAACTGGCTAGCAGAGCTTCTGACTGACAGTTTATGTGCAGCAGCAAATCAACTATCCTGATTAACAAGGTTATAAAAGCTCATGACTGAAAAATCACTTTGATGTGTGGGGAACTTTTCCAGGCCCTCTTTAGCAGGGTGGGACTGGGACGAGAGTGCTGTAGCCTTTTAGCTGGAAGCTAACCGGAGCCTGGGGCTAACATCACCACTCGGTGGAACACTAGCGACATGAAGGTGGGTTGGTTCACCGGCACGTGTCGGAGTCAGCCCGGTAAAAGTGATTAACGACACCGAGCGGACTCACGTTCACATTTGAAAGGAGCGCTGAATCCAGAAACATCAGCACAAAGTGCGTGCGTTGCTCTGAGCCAGCATGACGAACAAGGGAACGGCACCGCTAACCCAGTTCGGGTTTTGCTTTCTAAAAGGGTCTATGTAGGGGGCGGGCGTATTACGTGAACGGGACCATCTGATTGGCCGCATATCAGAAGGGCTACATTTGATTGGTCAAAAAATACTTTCGCGTAAAAAACAGAGCTGGTTTACAAAAAGCTGATGTATGACACGGATGGAAATGTTGAACCAAACATTTATCGCCGTTTTTGCCGTGTTTTGCGATGGGCCTATCGCACGTCCTGTTATCGTGATGACGATATTTTTTCGATATATTGTGCAGCCATAATAATGGGTGTCAGTGCCACGGGGCGGTAGTCATTGAAATAAGATGGGGATGGTTTCTTTGGTACAGGTATGATGGTGGAAGTCTTGAAACATGATGGGACCGTGGCTTGCCTCAGCGAGGTGTTAAAGATGTCTGTGAAGACATTCTTCAGCTCCTCTGCGCAGTCTTTCAGCACACTACCAGGGATGTTGTCTGGACGGGGTTAGGGTTTGATGACCTTCACTCTCTGTCTGTATGATGGCATTAGCATAACAGTGAGGTGATCAGAGGTGCCGATATGGGGGAGGGGAATGGCTTTGTATGCTCCCTTTTCCTGTGTGTAGACCAGGTCCAATATGTCATCTCCCCTTGTTGGAAAATGTACATGCTGATGAAACTTTGGGAGAACAGTTTTAAGATCAACGTGATTAAAGTCTCCTGCGAGGATGATGAAACCGTCTGGGTGTGCTGTTTGTTGCTCACTGATGGTCTGATGCAATTCGTTCAGCGCCGCATTTCTATCGCTGTTGTTGCTAGATGGAGGTATATAAGTAGCGACCAACAAGATCGAACTTACCTCCCTGGGCAAGTAGAAAGGGCAACACTTCACGATCATCAACTCCGCCAGTGATGAGCAGTGTTTGCGTACTACAGTGGCATCACGACACCACTCGTCACAGATGTAAACACAGACCCCACCACCTCGGGTCTTGCCTCCATCTACGAGAGCCCTGTCGACTCTGTAGCATGCTAGCTGCTCCAGTTGTATAGCCGAGTCCGGAATGTTGTCATTAAGCCATGTCTCAATGAAAACTAGCACACAACAGTCACTTACGCTGCGATTCGCCGATCTCAGAAGTCGTATGCTGTCCATTTTATTGTCCAGAGATCGTACGTTGGCCAAGAGGAGCGACGGTATGGCTGGGCGAGTTGGCTTAGCCTCAAGCCTGACTCGGACACCTCCGCGCTTGCCCCGCTTCCTTGTCGTAGCACACTGCTTTCGACGTCTCCTTGCCCAGGGAGGGGTAGCAGGCGAGTCCTGTGAGTTGCTAGGCCAGCTAGCAGGCTGTCGCAGAAGTCCTATTTCCCTTAACATCTCAGCGTTAGTGTTCAAAACTTGGCAAATCTTGCTTCTCCGAATGTGTAAGAGCCTGACGACTGTACACATATTCCGACGTGGACTGGCAAGAAATACTTGCAGAAAGACACTTACTCGACGAACAAAACACCACATTTTCAGGAGAGCGTGAGGTCGCTGCGTCTACACGTGCCACCATTTTCATAAATAATAATTTATGAAAGTAATAATTTATTATTAATAAAACCTTGTTGCAGCACTAAAGCAGAAAAATGAGATTTTGCAATAAATATGCTAAGTATTTACATATGAATTGTTTTAGAGCCCTTTTATTGGCAGAATCTGATATTAATTTAGTTCTTACAAAAAATGGGTCCCAACATGGTTTGTGTGGCGTTGCCATAGTGTGACGTCATAGGCACAGATCCCCTGTCCTCTTGTTTGGAAATGGAAATATGATCACCCTATATTAAACAAACTGTCCACCCGGGCTTTTGCGCTGCACAGAGACGCTTCGCTGCCTATGACTGAACGTCAGTTGAGAGTCGGTCTCATGCAGACTGACCAATGAAGAAAGGGCCTCAAGTTAAGACCCTCTCCTCATTGGTCAGTCCACAAGAGGTAGGTCAAAGGTTACTCTGAGCGGGTTACGTGATGTCAGCCAGCCAAGTATTGAGTATATTTACTGCATATTACAGTAAAATATTCTGTATGTGACCATATTAGGGTGACCCTTGGGTCGTGATGATGGGGCCCTTTAATATTGTTGCCCAGGGTACAACAAAGTCTTAATCTGGCCCTGGTTTGTGATGCTGCCCCGCGACCCGGATAAACGGAGGAAGACGACGACGACGACGTTCCTCATTGGCCCAAACGAATAAAAGAAAAATGCTAAAAAGAAACATTGTCCCTTTGTTTCTTTCTGGTGTGGATGTTCAAGGGTTAATGAACTATACCTCTCTGTGTGTAAATAAACACAAAGCATTAAAGTCGTGATGAACGTGTGGTAAACAGCAGGAGTCGGTTCTCATGACCCACTAAAGTCTGCTGCCTGCAGTAACGTGTTGTAGCTTTGACCCAGAATGACTCCGTTATGAGACATTCATTTCTCTCCTCATCAAGTTTTACTCTTTACCTAACATCACCCCTTCTCCCTCCCCCTCTAACAAAGATTAGATAACAGTATTGAGAGTCTTTGTGATGCTGACGAGGACAAACTCACCTCCATCTCGTACACGTCCATCCCCTGACTGACTGCCAGTGTGTTCCGCTTGGCCATAGAACATAATTTGGTGATTTCTTCAGCCAGCTGAGCACTCAGCTCCTGGATGGATCAGAAACATCACTACAGTCACATGAATCTGGATAATATACCTCAAGAGGCTTTATTCATCACATACTGGCTCATTTTCCTAGTTTCTCTCTTAAATAAGACCTTTAAGAACAGTTTTTACTGTATTATGCCTGGATCTCCCCTCCCTGGGCTGCCACCTTACCGTGGTGGAGGGGTTTGAGTGTCCCAGTGATCCTAGGAGCTAAGCTGTCTGAGGCTTTATGCCTCTTGTAACGTCCAAAAATGTCAATTTTCACCTGTATATTGACCTTTCGTCTAAAGAAATTAATCCACTTTGTTTGGCCTTCCAAACCCAGAAGGTCCTGTTCGGCACGTGTTTACATGCAGAAGACAAAACATCCAGACAAACTTTCTGCCCCAAGGTCCCACACGCTGTGTAAGGGAGGACTCCTCGACTTTTACGACTCATAAGCAGACAATAATCACATGTGATGAATGAACAAGATGTTTGAATCAGATGTTTGAATAACCTGTGCTTAAACCAATGATGGCTTGATAATGAATAGTGTTCTTACGGTGATCCATTTATATCACAAAGCACTGTGTGTTTGATTTAACACGTTAATCGTGGTTCACACACATTACAATAAGACACTCATTAAGGTTAAAAACGTTTGTATCTGAGGAGGGCGGGGCTTTCTGAGGGACGCCGGTAAGTAAATACTCACAAACGTGTCAATTTCTGATTGGCCAAACTCGGCCAGAAATCATAACAAAGTAGTTTAATAAAACAAGACTTACTTCCTGATTAATTCAGTTTCTAGCTGACCCTCGAACCGGCCAATTCAGGAACTAAGCATTTTTGAAACCATCTTCTCCTTTGACCTCCTGCCAAAGCCTCTCTGCAGCGCTGCGACTGATACCAGACAACCGGCTCTCCAAGAGCCAAGCACACATCAACCTTAGACTCACATAAGCATTCCAGCTTTCTGCCTTCACCTCGAGGGATCTCAGACTGGACAGGCTCCTGACATCAGAGGTTTACTCCACCAGATCTACGTTCCTACCCTCACCTATGGTCATGAGCTTTGGGTGGGGACCGAAAGAACGAGATCACGGATACAAGCGACTGAAATTAGTTTTCTCTCCAGAGTGGCTGGGCTCTCCCGTAGAGATAGGGTGAGAAGCTCGGTCATCCGGGAGGGGCTCGGAGTAGAGCCGCTGCTCCTCCACATCGAGAGGAGCCAGTTGAGGTGGCTCAGGCATCTGGTCAGGATGCCTCCTGGACGCCTCCCTGGTGAGGTTTTCCGGGCACGTCCAACTGGGAGGAGACCTAAAGGTAGACCCAGGACACGGTGGAGGGACTATGTCTCTCACCTGGCCAGGGAACGCCTTGGGATTCCCCCGGAGGAGCTGGCCCAAGTGGCTGGGGAGAGGGAAGTCTGGGCCTCTCGACTTAGGCTGCTGCCCCTGTGACCCGACTCCGGATAAGCGGATGAAAATGGATGCATGTCTGTATCTCTGACCTTAGTTGTTGCTTTTATATTCAGTAAAAGTAAAGATTAATTTTCAATAACTGTCATTTAAGCCAAACTGATAAACGTTCTTGAAGATCGCCGACACATGAAGCACATGGGCCATATTAGAGCTGAAGATGACCTGGTTTCTGCTCCTCAGGTCCTGGTTCTCCTGCTGGCACTGACACAAAGCTCTCCTCTCAGCGTCCAGAGCCTGGACAAGATGTCTGATCTCCAGACACTTCAGGGAAAACTGCTGGGACAAGACACCGAGCTCCCGCTGGACGGAGGCCAGCTCCTCCCTTTAAACGGACACAAAGGAGAAGCTCAGAGAAGATCCAGCAGAAAACGTCCTACATATATGACATTATGACTTCTACAGCTTTTATACTTTGGGTGTTTGCATCACGATAGCCTGCTGGAACGTTCATACAACTAACCCACAACGGGAAGATTCCCGAAAGGTCACAAGTTCGTGTACCGGTGCTGCCGATGGATCTCCTCCAGCTGTGTGTTCCCGTTCTCTGACTGACGCCTCCTCTGGACCTCCCTCTGCAGCTCCACGCGGTGAGCATTCTGGATGGCTTCGATCGCTGAGCGGCGAGCAGGGAGAGGAGATAGTTACATTTGAACGTCTGTGATTGGTTACTGAGGTCTGATGGTGACTCACCAGTGGCAGTGGCTGCGCTCTCCTCCTCCAGGAGCTGGTCTTTCTCCACTAGGAGGCGCTCCACTTCCTGTTGGTGCAGACGCCGCAGCTCCTCCACCACCTTCCGGTGACACTCCTCCATGGCGGCAAGCCCCCGCTCACACACGGCCTGAGGGCAGAACCTCAGATGAACTGCTGGTTATGGTTACAGTCTGGTTAGATCGTTCTGACGGTTAGCCGACTCCAATCAGGAAGTGATCGCTGGTGCATCATTTGTTCCAGGATCTATTCAAAGATGTTTTATCTTCATGTGTTGTTTAATCAATCAGCACCTGGAGTTTTAAATGTTTGGATACACTTTCCTCTGTGATCCACTTAATCTACGCAGAGAATGCAGACAGACAACCCAAACCCTGAATCTCAACCAGGACTCTGTCGTGAAGTTAACCCAATGTTTTAGAAAACCGTGTCTGAAAGCCGGAGCACCGACCTTCAGCTTGTCCTTCTCCTCCTCATGCTGCTTCAGCACAACGCTCATCTTCTGGTCCGAGTCCTCCTTCATCTGGTCTGTCACCGACGGATTCTCCAGCTCGGTCACTTCCACTCCCACATCTGAAACCTCCGTGTTGGACTCCATCGCTTCCCCTTCTCCTAAACATTCCCCTGAGACCATCTGGCCTCCAAGAGGAGGGTCGTTCTGCGATTCTGAGCGCTGAAGGTAAATCTCATCTGTCTGGCAGCACACGCTCATTTGAGAACCAAATGAGAGGTGGCGTTCTTCCACGTCTGATAGTTTAGCTTTCAGCTCCTGGTTTTCCCGCAGGAGGCCGACGCAGCAGAGCCTTCTCTCACATCCGGAGCGGAGCCGGGCTAACCGACAGCAGAACAGAGCTTCAGCGGCGGCTGAGTGAAGGAACAAAACTGGTCTAGGATTCGGAGAAGAGTGAGGATCGTAGAGCCTGTTGGCAGCCAGCAGCAGCTCATCGAGTGTGGAGGATCTGATGGAGGAGGTCTGCTCTAATAACCTGATTTTTATCTGTGTGAAGGCTTTCAGATGCTCCATCTCACCCAGCTGCTTGCATCCAAACATACTGGGTTCTGGTTCTGTAACTCCGTTTAAAGCTGCTGAAGATCTGCTCTCAGGTGTTTGGATTCCTGTCAGCTCACCTGTTTGGAGAAGCAGCTCGTGAGCTTCTAGTAGAACTTGTGTCTCCAACATCAAACGTTCAGTTATTTCACTGAGAAGAACTCCAACCGGGTTCTCCAGCTGGGTCGGGTCAGCCTTCAGTTTGTTCAGCAGCAACTTCCAAAACTCCTCCTCCCACCTCAGCTGTCTCACTACATCGGGACTCTCCTCCTGCTCCTCCGCAGCTCCCCCAATGAAATCCAACTTGTCCATGACCTCCAGCAGCTTTTCCGAAGCTCTCAGTCGTGTCACCATCCCCTCGGTCACCTGCAGGATCTGTTCTTCATCAGTTTTTCTCCGGTTCCTCTCCTCTTTTTCAAGTCGCTGCTTCTCCAGCTCCTCCTTCAGCTGCTCCTTCAGTCTCTTGAGGTCTGCTTCAGCTTCTGAAGCTCTTTGGAGGTAAAGTTCTCCTGTTTGGTTTAGTTGTGTGTTCTGCTGCGGGAGCTGCCTGCAGGTCTGGGTTGACTCTTCCAGCTGTTTCTCCACCTTCATCAGCTTAGTCTCTGCAGCCTGGAGACACTGAAGTGGACCTTCTTCTGATGTCTCTGAACTCCTCCTGCATTTTTCTTCTACCGGAACTTCTGCAGCGCTCTTCAGCCCCTCAGTCCCCAGAGAGGAGGAGATCAGTGTCCGAACATCCAGGAGCTCCTGGTTCCTCAAACTCAGCTGCTTGTCCAGATCATCCATCGTCTTCGCTTGTAGTTTTAGTTCAGAGAGGAGACGGGCCTCGGAGAGCTTGCTGCCGAGTTCAGCTTTCAGCCGTGCAATCTCGCGGTCGGCCTCCATCAGCTGGTTTATCATCTCCTGGTTTTGCTGGTCCAGAGCTTTGTTCTGCTTTGTGAGCTCCTCGACCTCCTGGGACAGGTGCTTCACCACTGATGGGTCAGAAGCATCGACGCCTAAAGTGGAGTCCTCATGAGTCGTCTCCTCCACGAGTTGAAACTCTCTGTTGGTTTCTGAGGCGGGGAACAGCTGATGGTCCCGTCGGTCCAGGTGGTGGGCTGTGCCACCATTAAAATGTAATCCTGAAACTGGTCCTTCCTTCTGGGACGTGTCCTGCTGGCTGTGTGAAGTTCCATCCAGGTGCTGTAAACTGTGCTCTGCGTCCTTCAGCCAGATGCTGGGCAGCTGTGCTGCTGATGAGGATGAGTTAAGATGAAGATGCTCTTGCTTCTGTGGCCTGACGTGTTGCTGCTGAAACAAAACCTTTCTGGACTCGCCGTAGGACTTGTTCAGGTCTTTAAGATGCTCTTCATTCATGTCCACGGGGCAGAAAAGAGCTCCAGGAGAAACTGGGAAGTTCGGCTGAGAAGAAATGACAAACTCCTCTAAATCTCAGGACAAACATCCTTTAAAAATCTTTCTCAGACATATTTTCAGACCTGTTCCTGGTAGAACCCCGCGGTGCTGATCCAAGTTTCCAGCTTCAGCCTGCAGCACTCTGACTCAGCCAGCTGCGCCTTCAGATCCTCCACCTCCAACAGAACAACGAAAACTCATTCAGATCAATCAGAAGGACCCAAAAAAGCCAGCGTGAGTTTCATTAATCCAGATTAGGGCTGGGCGACTAAAGTCAATACCACCATATACTGAGGATTTCACCTTGATAATGATAAATGGACAATAACTGCAGCCAGGTATGCGCAGAAGCAGAAGCTGTCCACTAGATGGGGCTGTCACATGTATCAAGTGGGAACGCTGCCAACCTACACACCTTTTCATTTTTATTATCAAATGTTTTGACATGGGAAAAATTCTCGATAAGTCAGAAATTTTGATAACGATAAATTTCCCATTTATTGCCCTAATCCAGATGTAAAAAATACAAGACAGGTGTGGATGTTTGATGAGGTAGTTACCACCTCTAGTTTGGTAAACCTGTCAAGCATTAGGAACAGATTCAAATCTGATGTGTAAGTAGCTCAGAGTCATTCACACCACACTCTGGGTGTTGGTGTTAACCCGCGAACCAGAATATCTATATTTGGCTAAAAAAGGAAGCTGCTTACCTACCAAAATAAAAGCAGGACAAAGAGATCCTCTGGACCAGGGGTGTCAAACTCAAACTCACACGGGGCCGAAACTCTGGGACGGAGTCGAGGGCCAAACTTAATATTTTTTGAAAAAGTGACGGCAAATTTGCATGTTTTCTTTATCTACATAAATGCAATTTTGAACCTTTAAATTTGGAAACAAACATATTTCTGCATCAACACTGAATGTGGAATAACCAAATTACACCCATGACCAAATTACACACGAGCAAGTCCGTTTTAAATAAAAGGCATCAGTAGTATTCATTACTTGTGGTATAATCAGCATTTTTAAAATCTATTCAGGATTCATGTTTTCTTGTTTATTCATTTTTCTTATTTTTTATTCTCCTTTTTTCTCCTGTAATACGTGTCATCGCTGCTGTGACGTCTAGCTTTCCCCACTGAGGAACAATAAAGGGATTTTCTATTCTATTCATCTATCTGCAGCCTTTCCACTTCCTGTTTACTGTAGGTTAAATCTTTTCTCACGGGCCAACAACAAAATAAAATATCATTTTATCTTAAATGAAAATGCAACATCTCACCTGTTAACTTTCATGTTTTGGAGCAGAAAAAGAGCATAAAAGCAACATATTTAAAGCTCAGTTTGCTCCACTGGTTTACTGTGATGCTCACCTGTTCCAGCCAGATACCTGCATCATGGGGTTAATCTGAGCTGAGGAGGAGACTCCTGTTGTTTTGTTCATCTTCATCATAATAATGACAACATTAGATGACAACAGGTGCTCACATAGGTTTGTGCTGATGAACATGTCTGAGCAGCTTGACCACGTTGTTGTGTGTCGGGGAGGAAACACAACCACAGAGTCGTGCTGGTTTGAGCGTGTCGCTGCTCGCTGGAGTTATATCGGCTCTGTCTGGACGTTAGTTGGAAAACTTTCTCTTTCAGTCGTGAACACGTTACTGAGCAGCTAGAATCTCCGTTTCTGGGCTTCAACGTCAGAAAACAGCTGAGTGAACTCGGCGCTGAGTGAGAGGAGTGTTTAGTTTGTCCGAGACAGCGGAGCTGCAGAGACCGGCAGCAGGCGCTGGAAAAAACACAAAGGAGGGGGCGCGTCGGCTCCGCGCTGACGCCGCAAAGCATCATGGGAGTTGAAGTCTTCGCGGTAAAATCGGCCAGCGGGCCAGTTTTAATATATTTTTGATATTTATCTCGCGGGCCACATAAAAATGCTCCGCGGGCCGCATCTGGCCCGCGGGCCTTGACTCTGACACATGTGCTCTGGATCATTTATCATTGCGAAGGAGAACCCAGACAGGAACACTGAGAAACAAGTGATGGTCCAACAGAGATCCCCTTCCCCCTCATATTTTCACAAGTTGCTTCTTTTTTAGGGCAGCCTGAATTTGCATAATAGCCAATTATTTATGTAGAAAACCAGTTATTTAGATTATTTAAATGCAACTTCATGCATTTAGATTTTAACATTATTTGAAGCTAAATGCGGTAAAATGAGATTTAAATGTAGAAAGTTACTACTTTACAACCAGTCTGTTACTCACAGATAAAAAACATGAGGTTGTCTTCACGATTTGAAGAAAGTGACCAAAAACGCACGTCTACATGTCCCTTATGACCTCCAGGCTCCCGTAGCAACTCTGCTTTTATTACACGAGTCGGATCCATCGAGCAGATTACAGTGACTTGGTTTTCTGTAAAAGTCTGCTGTTAGGGTGAGGTGTTTTGTAATCTACTATATTTAGTGTGGAACGGATCCGAATCCCTGAAGAGTCTAAAGTCGACTGACCTGAAGCTAGAGGGTTTGGTCTGGGATCCGTTGGCGTCTCCACTCACCGTCTTCCTGTAGCTGTGGATCTTCTCCACCTCAGAACAATCTCTGGTATCAACACTCAGCAGCACCTTCCTCTCCGGTATGAATCCGCTCCTCTCCACCTTCCTCCAGCACTCCTCTATCTGCTTCTCCATCCTCAGCTGTAACTGTGGACTCAGCGCTCTCACATCACCATCCTCGGTCTGCTGAGGCTCGGTGTGACCCAGAGAGAAGCCCAGCATGCTCTCGTACCTTCTCCTCCTCTCCTCCCGCCTTCTCCGTCTCTCCAGGTCTCCCAGCTCCAGGGGGGGCAGAGGTTTCTGGTGGTCAGTCTCGTCGCTCTGGGGCCTGATCTCAGAGCAGTCAAAGGTCTTGTAGTGGTCTTCATGCCTTCTTTCAGTCACAGTCCTGGAGTGAGGGTCTTTCTCCACGGAGATGTCCTTAGAAGCAGAATCCTGAGTCACATCTGGTTTGGGGATGAGCTCAGGTGAGCTACAGGTAATATGCTGTCCAGGTAAACTGAGAACAGGGATAAACCATTAGAACACATTTCTGATTGATTCTGTTTCTTCTCACTGGAAGCTGAATGTTAGCAGCTGAGTGTGTTTAACTTTACTGCCAAGAGTTGACAACTAGGACTCCATCATTTCATCACTACGATGACCTTAGTTTTAATAACTCCCAGTAAAGAATGAGGGAACTTTCATGGTTTATCGTGGTTGTCCTCCACCCTCACGTCTGACTCAGACACCTCCAACAGAGCCGGATGGATCACCTGGCTACATCCGGAGCGTTGCCTGGATGCACGTTCTTCATCAACGCCTGGATCCAGTTCCTGCGTATTCCTGCCGTCATGGCCGACAGCGTGAAGGTGCCCATCAGGGTCTGTTAATTCAAGACTCACGTTAGCTTGTTTTAAATGCAGCTGGGACCTTTTGTCCACAGACTGAGAGTAACGGCTTACATGGATCTGAAAACCGTAGTTCCTCTGGACCTGACACTCAGACACACTGAAACACTTCGTTAGGTCGATTTCTCCACCCAGATCTGAGGTCTGGTGGAAACAAAACGATGAAACACCGACTCACACGTGACTGGTGCAGTTATAAATGACATTTCACCTCCTCAGCTACGGAATCGCTGTAGAATCTGAGACGGTCCGTCGACAGAACAAACCAATACTTCTTCCACTAGATGGAAGCAAAGGACACTATTAGTGTTTTATATTTATTCATCATGGAAATGGTTCAAAACTCCACTTCAGTTGAGTTTACCTGATCTTTCTCATCTAGTTTCATCATCCAGCCTTTCTTGAAGTTTAATAAGTCTGGCTGCAAAACAGTGAATACAAACAAGAGTTAGGAATTTAGAGGATGTCTTCATTTCTGTAAAGTTCCAACTTCCTCTCGTCGTTCCCGTTTGGATCCTGGTATTTACTGATCCTGTGAGTTGTTCAGAGGTCTGCTGCAGTTTAAGTGATCGGGCCTGAATTCGTTTCCCAGTGAAACGCCATGAAATCCACTAGAACTCATCGTCTTTATATCATTTCCTTTTTTATTTAATGAATCTTCTCTTTCGGCTTTTCCCTCGGGTGTATTCTGCATCCTCTTACCTCACAGCGTTTTTCAGAACTAAAACGACATTTTTAAAAGTAAAAAAAACTGATGAACAGTACAAAAATAAGTGGCTTTGAAAGGGATGAGTGGATCTGACAGGGCTGTACTCACAGTCATGACGATGTCCGATGTCCTCCGGTCCAGAGACCTGGATCTCCTCTGGACCGGAGGAGGAGCACTGAGCAGGGCCTCACATCCGCTTCGCTGCAGGTTCTGTAAAGAGTCCAGAATTAAAATCCTCAGAACTTCAGGCAGTTGAGGCTCTTGTTTACATGTTTTCTGAGTCAGCCTGCGTGCCTTTGAGCACGGTAACCTGTAGTCATGATACTTGGCAGAGATGTTACTGGAAGGATTGGGCCTGCTGCAGGACTCCACAGGGAGTCCAAACGGGCTTTCCTCCTGCCCGCTGAACTCCCGCTCACATCGCTGATGAAGATGGTGACGTTTGTCTGAAGAATTCATGAAAAACCTTCTGCTGGAGTCTTTCTCCTGATCACAGCTCTCTCAGATTGCTTCTAGAAGTCTGTTTTTTGGTTATTTGAGACTAAATAACTCAACAGAATCAGCACTTTTATGCAACCTCTTTCAGGAGGAAAACGGACCAGTTTGGCCACTACAGAACCTTCTTTGTTCTCTTCTCTGGCATCAACGTTGAAAACGATCCAAGGACACTTGGAGGAACACGGTGCTCCGACTGCAGCAGGAACCGATCTTTTCGACCTCCAGAACAACCGATGACCGTTCTGTTCAGTGGAGAAAACTCCCACAGCAGGGGAGGAGGATGAGAGGAAGAGGATGTTCGGGGAATCTTGGAGTTCCTGAATGAACTCCAGGCATGTTCCTTTAACCTGCTCCTGGCTAAGAAAACAAACGCACCCAAAGGCACATACATCATCACGTGTGGTGCGTTAGGAGGTAAACCCTCTGGAAACACTAACAGCCGCTTCTCTGGTGTTCGCTGATGCTGATCTAATGTCATTTGCTCTTGGTGCGACTGTGTATATTTGACTAAGGCAGCTTCAAACACAACTGTTTACTGGGACTGGGACATAAAGCTCTTCATGCCAGCTGAACATGAAAATAGTCTCCTACACCCATCTCCTGCATTAGCTTTGGCTAGAAACCAGACGGTGAAACTCTGGGATTTATAAATCCTGAAGGATCTGCGTCACACTGTCCCTTAACATTCATGGACTCACCCATCTGGACTCACGAAGGGGAAGGCTGTTGTTGGTTTTGTGTCCAGGAAAAAGCAGAGAACATGACTAAAAGAAGCTAACGTTAGCATTAGCAGCTCCGCCACGCAGCAGAACCCCTCCAGGCGTGTGTTATTTGTGGAGATAAAACATCCATGTTGCAAGTCTGTGGTAGAGTTGCGTTGTTGTTATCCAGTCTGAGGTGAGAAGTCCAAATATCAGGAAATAAGACTCTAAATCCTGCCGCCTGTAACTCTCCTCTGATGTGGCATTCTGCTAGTTCCTGAAACAGGCACACCTGAGCTCCCCCCCCCCCCCCCCAGAGTACGACTTGCAAGGCATTCATTCCTACTAGAGACCACTGCAAATGCATTCGTTAAACGAGTGAAGCACACACATTTAGGGCTGAAGACAGCTGCTGGGACAGACTTTAGTTTAAAATCCTCTCATTCCTTGAATTAATTCACCTCATCTGCTACTTTCACAACACGCCCTGTAGGTTATAAATTATAAGTCGCTTTGGATAAAAGGGTACACTATATAAATATAAACATAAACTTTCATACAAGATTTTTAAACTAGAATAATCTGATGTTAAAATGATGGACCTGCCTTTACACTGGTGTTGTGAGTCTAATGACACTCACTAACGATTTTGGTGTAATTAAGGTATTAGTAAAACTTGTGTTATGCAGAAGTCCAGGTGACCAAACACGTCTGCTGGAGCTTCTAGTATTGTGGTACCGCTTTTGTTCGGTTGTGTTGTTGCTTCTGGATTTCACTGACCCTTCTGGGCCTCCGTAACTTGTGATCCATTGAATTTATTCTAAGAAAAACGGTCATTTAAATTTAAGTTTTGTTTAAAGTTCATCTATTACTTCTAGATCTAACAGCGATCAGTAAATCTGGTAAAAATATTTTATTGACAAATCTATTCAAAAAAATATTAAATTCATGTGTAAAACCGTGTTTTACTTTAATTCTGCATTAATATGATTAAAATCACATTTTTATGGTGGATTTCAGAAAGAGATCCACATTCTGAAAGGAAATGTGATTAATGAAGACAAACAGAATAATGAACTATCAAAGTAAACTGATCAACCTGATTGGCTCCACTGGAAGCATTTTGCCACAAACATTTACAATTTAGCGTTAAATTGAACAGAAAACAGCTAAACGAGCGTAAATGGTGGTTATGAGCATAGAAATAATGTTTCTGCTGATTTAACCTCTTTTTGCGTCAGCTGTTTATGATTCATGTTTGTGTTTTGTTGTCTGTCACATGCAGACAGACACTTGTTAGTTTACTCATGCCTTTAATCACCCGGCTTTGACCCAACAGCCCGCTGACTGGGACTTCCAAACAGATGTGCAGCTGAAAGGCTGGACTCTAGTAACAGTAAACGGAGACGAGCGGGTCCAGCTGTCATAACTCTGACGTCTCTGAAGAGTCTGATCCATCAAATCTCGTCTGACTTCTGAGGAATCCCTGGAAAAATGCTGGGAGCTCCGCCCACCAGAGCCCAGCAGGCGGGCTGAACACCTTCAGGGCATCAAAACCAGTTTTGTTCACAAACAGAGCGCTGAGTGATTCATGAACTCCTTACTCCCGCACACACCAGGGGAAACGCATGCCTCGACACAACTCCATCCATTCTCCACCTGTTTCAGGATCAGGACGAATGCTAATTTATGACATGATGCATCAAATAAATGCCATCAGAATGGAAAAAGAAACTGACTGAATCAGGTCTGTGCCTGACTTCCACAGCTGACCGAATGAGTAAAATGAATTCACACAGAGATCGGAGCTTTATCAGAAGCCATCCAGTGAGGATCTTTTTAATAAGATCTGATGTTTTCTGAATCTGAAGCTGCAGCAAGGACCTCATATTTCGCTGAATGTTGAACTGCACTTTGATTACACAACAAAACAAACACAAACAAAGGAGAGTAATAGTGTGCTTGGTTCAGTTTGACCTCCGTATGAGTGAAACCAGACCGTTGGCGAGCCTGTGTGGCTGCTAGATAATGCTCATCATGTGAGGTCTTCTTACCTCATGCTTGGCCGTCCGAGCCGCCGTCCTGCCCTGCCTGCAGATGCTGGTTCCATCTCTCTGAGGTTTCTCGGTGGCCCCCAAGCCCAGCAGCTGTTCTGCTGAGGTATTCTGGCTGGAAAACATCAACACTTGACTAACGTAGGTGTACATATGCTGATGCTACTGAAACTAGATGTAAAACAGGATGTTCTGTTGGACATTCGTGGCTGAAAACAAGTGAAAATGTCGGTTCTGTAGCTCTTTGGTGGAAAACGTATTACTCAGCTGTTTCAAAGCCAGATGCTTCTGGTCCATTTATAAGAGGTAGACCAATATACTGGGCTGGTATTAACCATTTGTTTTTATATCGGCATCGACTGATATGCCTCCTTAGTTAAGCCGATTTAAAAATCAGGCACATCCTTGGGCAGCCTGGTTCTGCTGCATCATTTAATTTAAATACGTGTTTACGTTCCTGAATAACATCTGCATAACAAATGTAATGTTCGACTGAAATTTCCTTTTATGATGGTTTTGAACATCTGATTTTAACATTGAGCAGTGCACAAAATTAAGATTCAACAGCTGGATAAATTCAGAGTTCAAACACTGATTCCGCTTCAGAATTTTGTGCACTAACTTATGTTATTACACGCATTTTAGCACAAAAGTTGGAAACTCCAAGATATCAACCATGAAAGTCGGCCCAAAAACAATCTGCAGGACATATCGGCCATGGGCTGACCATGACTTCTACCTATCCGTATCAGCGATAGAAAAACCTATATCGGTAAACCTCCAGTTCAAACCAGACTGTATAGTCCCAAAATTCTGGTCATGAGAGAACAAGCTTGGGCTGACCTCTGCCTGTTAGACACAAGAGGGGCTCAAAGTAAAGTCGTTACTCCTCCCCATCCAAGGGAGTTAGTGGAGGTGGTTCTAGTTTTGAGGAATGATTCCCAATTCCTGCAAAGCTCTGACCCAAAGAACTTAAAGGTGAAGTATGTAAGAATATAGTGAGAATTTTACAGTGAGAAAATCCCCAAAAGAGTAATCTTTCAGTCATTTTGGAAGGAAGGTTATACTGAAACATGTTTCATATCCAGCTGGCTGCTGGATAGTCAGTTTTTCTCCTATCACAACAAAGGAAGGAGGGACGTAACTACAGTTTACCATCAGTTAGTGTGGGGTTGCCGTGTCTCCTGTAGCTAATACTGCAGCGCAGACAATTGTAATTCGACGACAGTAGGCAAAAAGCTCCAGAGTAGTTTAAAGTGGTTGCAGTGACCAAATTTTACCATAGGATGTCATTTTTACTTCATTTCTACATAATGCACCTTTAAACAGAATGTGTTTTACGTCAGATCAAGAGAAAACTGCCATGTCTGGAAGGGAAATCTTCCCCATGAACAGTGGTACTTTTAAGCACTGATCAGCAGAAGTCACAAGTAAGTCACAAGTCTTTCCAGTCAAGTCTCGAGTCAAGTCCAAGTCAAAGACAACCAAGTCCAAGTTGAGTCCAAAGTCAATGATGTGGAAGTCCAAGTCAAGTCCAAGTCCTTAACTTTGAATTTTCAACTCATAATCGAGTCATCTGTCCAACTTAAATTTAATGACAATGATAATTAAAAAAATCCAGAAATAAAGCTTCTTAAAGCTTCATTTATTTGCTCAAACAAGCAGAAAGTGCAACAGAAACTGATTATAAACAAGTGCTGCTGCATTTAGCAGTTCAAGATCACACCCAGAACCAAGACTAATTTAGAATTTTTGTCCATGTCGTGCCCTCTCTCTGGGCTGCCACCTTACTGTGGTGGAGGGGTTTGAGTGTCCCAATGATCCTAGGAGCTAAGTTGTCTGAGGCTTTATGCCTCTGGTAGGGTCACCCATGGCAAACAGGTCCGAAATGAGGGATGCCCGAAGACCTCTTATGAGGAATTATATAAATGGAAACCGTGTTCCCTCGCCCGGACGTGGGTCACCGGGGCCCCCCTCTGGAGCCAGGCCTGGATGTGGGGCACGTTGGCGAGCGCCTGGTGGCCGGGCTTTCACCCATGGAGCCCGGCCGGGCACAGCCAGAAGAGGAAACGTGGGTCCCCCTTCCCATGGGCTCACCACTCGTGGGAGGGGTCAAAGGGGTTGGGTACAGTGTGTGACGGGTGGTAGTCGAGGGCGGGGACCTTGGCGGTCTGATCCTCGGCTACAGAAGCTGGCTCTTGGCACATGGAATGTCACCTCTCTGGTGGGGAAGGAGCCTGAGTTGGTGTGTGAGGTTGAGAGGTTCAGACTAGATGTAGTCGGACTCAACTCAACGCATGGCTCTGGCTCTGGAACCAGTTTCCTTGAGAGGGGTTGGACTTTCTACCACTCTGGAGTTGCTCCCACTGAGAGGCGCCGAGCAGGGGTGGGCATACTAGTTGCCCCCATCTTGGTGCCTGTACGTTGGGGTTTACCCTGGTGAATGAGAGGGTAGCCTCCCTCCGCCTATGTGTGGGGGGGACTGGTTCTGACTGTGGGCTGAGCTTATGCACCAAACTACAGTTCAGACTACCCACCCTTTTTGGAGACCTTGGAGGAGGTGCTGGAAAGCGCTCCTTTCGGTGACTCCCTCGATCTGCTGGGGGACTTTAACGCTCATGTGGGCAACGACAGTGAGACCTGGAGAGGTGTGGTTGGGAGGAACAGCCCCCCTGATCTGAATTCGAGTGGTGTTTTGTTATTGGACTTCTGTGCCAGTCATGGATTGTCCATAATGAACACCAAGTTCAGACATAAAGGTGTCCATATGTGCTCTTGGCACCAGGATGCCTTAGGCCGCAGCTCGATGATCGACTTTGTTGTTGTTTCATCTGACCTGCGGCCGCATGTCTTGGACATTAGGGTGAAGAGAGGGGCGGAGCTGTCAACTGACCACTACCTGGTGGTGAGTTGGCTCAGATGGTGGGGGAGGATGCCGGTCAGACCAGGCAGGCCCAAACGTATCACGAGGGTTTGCTGGGAACGTTTGGCAGAGTCTCCTGTCAGAAGGAGCTTCAATTCCCACCTCCGACAGAACTTCCAAAATGTTCCGGGGGAGGCGGGGGACATTGAGTCTGAATGCACCCTGTTCCATGCCTCCATTGTTGAGGCGGCCGACCGGAGCTGTGGTTGCAGGGTCGTCTGTGCCTGTCGTGGTGGCAACCCCCGAACCCGCTGGTGAACACTGGCGGTTAGGGATGCTGTCGAGCTGAAGAAAGAGTCCTATCAGGTCTTTATGGCCTGTGAGACTCCAAAGGTAGCTGACGAGTACCGGCAGTCCAAGCGGAACGCGTCTCGGGAGGGCGCCAAGGCAAAAACCCGGGCATGGGAAGAGTTCGGTGAGACCATGGAGCAAGACTTCCGTACGGCTTCGAGGAGATTCTGGTCCACCATCCGGCGCCTCGGTGGGGGGGGGGGGGGGGGGGGGGCAGTGCGCTACCAACACTATCTATAGTGGGGTACGTGTAATAAATGTAGCATTTTTGTAGCTTTGGAGGCGAGGGTGTCGGAATTGGAGTCCCGAAACGCTAGCCTGGCAAGTCAGACCAAATAAATGTATTATTTAGTGTGGCCACGCTCCATTGACGGCTCTCGGTTGTGGGGCGGGTTCTACCGTGGTCTTTCAAAAGATCTCCGCATTCCACTGGACAAAGAATGTGACATCTTGTTTCACTCTGTTGCATCGTCCCACCCACCAGGCATATAGAGTGCCCTGATTGGCCCACAAAGCGGATAAAGCTCTGTGATTTGTTCACTAAGCAGATAGAGCACTATGATTGAACCACCATTATGGACAAATCACAACTCTTTATGTGTTTGAAACTCCTCTAGAGAGCTGTGATTGGCTAGCCAGAGTCCTGGTAGGAGCTGCGGAGGTTCCAATGGAGCACGCCTAGACCAAACTTTGCAAAGCAAGAATTTGGTCTAGTTCACTAGGCTACAGAAACGTGGCATTAGAGACTCCAGCAACCATAGTTAAATGTTTACCTGGGGCCAGAGCGGGCGACATTAAATCTTACCTGAAACTGCTGGCTAAGGATAAGCGTAAATACAGTAAGATTGTTATTCACGCTGGCGGTAACGACACCCGGTTACGCCAATCGGAGGTCACTAAAATTAATGTTGCTTCGGTGTGTAAGTTTGCCAAAACAATGTCGGACTCCGTAATTTTCTCTGGCCCCCTGCCTGATCAGACCAGTGACGACATGTTTCGCCGCATGCTGTCCTTCAACCGCTGGCTGTCTAGGTGGTGTCCTGAAAACAACGTGGGCTACATTGATAATTGGAAAACTTTTTGGGGAAAACCTGGTCTGATGCGGAGAGACGGCATCCATCCCTCTTTGGATGGAGCAGCTCTTCTTTCTAGGAACATGGCCAGTTTTATTAGTCCTCCATGACAACCCAGGGTCTAGACCAGGAAGCAGAGTCGTAGTTTAACCCACCCCTCTGCAGCTTCTGTACTGTTACCCACCCACTACCCCATAGAGACAGTGTCCTGCCCACGGCCAAAATCACACAGATTAAATATCAGGCTTAATAAAGCAAATCATGGAAATCTCATAAATATTAGAACAAATTCAACTGAGCAGAAAACTAGAAAAATTAAATGTGGGTTGTTGAACATTAGATCCATTTTTCTAAGACTTTGTTAGTTAATGAGTTGATTTGTGATAATCAGATCTCTTTGCTCTCTCTCACAGAATCCTGGCTGCAGCAAGAGGACTATGTTAGCTTAAACGAGTCGACTCCTTCAAATTATTTAAATCATCATATTGCTCGAAGTACAGGGCGAGGAGGAGGAGTGGCAACCATTTTTCATTCTGACTTATTAATCAGTCCCTTACAGATTAATAGCTACAGTTCGTTTGAACATCTTATTCTTAGTTTTCCTAATCCAGATTGCAAAACTGTAAAACCACTCTTGTTTGTAGTTTTATATCGTCCACCAGGCCCTTACTCTGAGTTTTTGGATCAGATCTCTGATTTTTTATCTGATTTGGTGCTAAATACTGATAAGGTCATTATAGTGGGGGATTTTAATATTCATGTGGACATTGAAAATGATAGCCTCAATGTAGCCTTTAGTAATATCTTAGACTCAATTGGCTTTACTCAAAGAATACATAGCTCCACCCACTCCTGCCATCATACATTGGACCTTGTGCTGACTTATGGCATTGAGTGTGAGGAAATAACAATCTTTCCACATAATCCAGTCCTCTCGGACAACTTTCTGATAACCTTTGAGTTTTTTATAACTGAGTTCTCGAGACATGAAAGTAAATTTCACTATAGTCAGTCTCTATCTGACAACGCAGTTGCATCTTTTAAATCAACTGTTCCATCTTTACTGTCCTCAGCATCTCAGAGGAACGTAGCAGAGGGCAATATTTTCAGTTCTAGCCCCTCACAAATTGATGCCTTAGTTCATCATGTTAATTCCTCTTTACGTGTGGCATTAGATGATGTTGCCCCTTCAAAAAAGAAGGTAATTAGGGACAGGAAGTTGGCTCCCTGGTTTAATTCTCATTTACGAGCCTTAAAACAAAACTCTAGGAAATTGGAGAGAACATGGCGCTCTACGCACCATGAGGAGGCCTACCTATCCTGGAAAAATAGTCTTGTGCTTTATAAAAATAAGCTTCGACAAACTAGAACTGCTTATTTCTCAGCATTAATTGAGGAGAATAAGCATAATCCTAATGTTCTTTTCAGTACAGTTGCTAAACTTACACAGAATCATAGCTCTGAGCCATCTATTCCCTTAGCCCTAAGCAGCAATGACTTCAACAAGTAAAATTAATTCTATTAGAAACAAAATCTTTAGCATTCTCCCTAATGCGATTTCTTCTTCCTCAGTAAGTGAGGCAGCATCAGAGGTAACTGTAGAACCTCATCTGTGTTTGAACCGTTTTGATCCAGTTGAGCTTTCAGAGTTATCAAAAATATTAGCTTCATCTAAACCTTCAACTTGCATTTTGGATCCAATCCCAACCAAATTATTTGAAGAAGCATTTCCTTTGGTTACTGCCCCCATTCTAGATATAATTAATCTATCCTTAGTAAATGGGTATCTACCACAGGATTTTAAGGTTGCTGTAATCAAACCTTCACTTAAAGGCACAGTCTGCAACATTTAAATGTAGAATAACTTTAAAAATGTTTGATTTTGACCATCTGACCCAATTTTATAAAAAAAAAAGTAAATAATCTTTAATATTTAAATTTTCTCCTAAGTCCCTCCCCTGCCCTGTAGAGCTCAGCCAATATTTCTGCAAGCCTAACACGTTGACCAATAGCGCTGCGTTTCCACCAGGGGGCAGCTGTCAATCATCGAGCACGAGCAGGTCTCAGCGCACAACAGTGTCATGCGCCTCACTCGGCTTACTGCAGAAACATGGAGCAACAAAACCCCAAATTACCGATTCCTCGACTGCCTTCCACATCTCCAAAAACATTTAAAAAGTTTAAAAGCCCTTCTTCAAAAGTGGCTGTAAGGCGTTTGAGACAGTCGAGTAGAATTTACATTGGAGATTGTTTTACACACGATGGAGAGATTTTAGTGATCTACACGGCCTGAAAACGGATGAAGAGTTGGCAAAGTATCTTTTAGACAGGTAAGTTATTTATTGTTTTTCGGATAAATTTACTTATAATCTTTCTTTCACTGAAAGAAGTAATAGAGCAAACAAGCTTTGTATGCTTGGTGTCCTATTGGCTAATGTAGCATTAGCTTGAATGCTAAGTCGACATGAATCGATGCTAGTGAACTAGTTATGCTATATTTGGAAGAAGTTTGAGTAACGAAAGGGGATTTTAGTTTTTTGTTTATATGGGAGCTAATGATTAGTGTGGCGTTTAACTATAGGCCACATCAGTATATTGTTTTAAGCTCTTGTTTATAACTTCCCCGTTAGCGGGGTTCAGTTAGCATCTTGAAAGCTGAATTAGGTGTTTACACTTGCCTGAGCTGCGTGTTTGATTAAAATGAGTAATCAGCAGCTCATGTAGAGCTTGTAGAAGTCTGAGGAGATGATTCAGCAGTTAGAATTAGGTGTGATTGATCAGGAACCTATCCGAAACCTTACGTTTCCATTAGCACTGAAAGACATATTGTGCTAACCTGGGTGGGCCACGTGTACAGATTACTGTCTGAGTTTGTGGTTATACCTACATGAAAACTCCACATTAAAATAAAAGGAATGATAATCAGCTCGTGCAAAAATCTGTGAAGGCTGGGGAGACTTGTTTAGCTTGTGATCACTAATTTTTGGGCTTTGTTTTTACAGTCATCAGTCCAAATATGAAGCATCAACATCTACACCATTGAAGCGCCAACTGTGTATGTCTCCAACACCAGTGCCAGCTCTGTCTAGCATTCATGGAGAATCATCTGAAAGGTAAATAGCTGCGTAAAAACCTACCAGGAATATTATAATTTTGCCTCTGTTTGTTTTAAGTTAGTGGTGGATTATTTTGAAAAAATTCTAGAAATGGGATAATGAATGACTATAAAAAATGTATAGAAATAAATAGTAAAACTACATTTTATATAGCGCCTCTCAAGATAAAACTCTTGAGGCACTTCACAACAACAAAATTAAACATATTTTAAAAAATTATATTTTCATTTCAAAGTTTGAGAAAAAAATAACACAATTGTGTTTTTAAAATGTAAAGAGAGAGACAGGAAATTATTTGTAAAGAAGGAATTCAGTGGATCCACAGAGAACTGCGTAATAAGTAGAGTGAGAAAAATAAGGAGAGGGTGATGATGACGGCCAATAGACGAGGTCTATTACCTTCAAAATGACAAAATATGTATTGATTCTAATCATATTCTTGTGCTTGTATTTTATTTTCATAGGGATGATAATTTGGAGGAGGTGATGGAACAAGGTGAAACTAAAAAAGAAGGATCTTCACAAATGTAAGTACAAGGTTGTATCTGTATTTGGCTGTCACATTTGTCAGGAAAAGTAAACAATAATTACTTTTTTAGGTTATCTTGTGTGGGAATTGAAGCAAACATTGACGAGGAAGAGTTCAACAATATTCAAAACTCTGTGTAAGTATTCAGATGTTAATAAAATGTGTCTAATTTTCCATACTAAAAACTTTATATTGTGTATATTCAGGATAGAGTCATCAGATGACACATGGTCACCAAACAGAGAAACAGAAGTTGATTCGTCTTCAGAGGAGGATGAAACCATCGAGATGGACAGCGGTACTGATGACAGCGGTGATGAGGACTACACACCTTATATACACATAAGGTAATTCTTTTCGTTTAACATTCTATAAAACTGCAATAGCACATAGTTAATAAAAAGCTTTTGTTCACAGGACTGGAGCAGCATTACAAAAAACATTACAACTTGAGACTCTGCAAGAAATTAACATAGAGGATACAGTTCATGACTGTAATATACCAGAAGCAACTAACCGACGTTTGACAAGCAAGAAAGGTCTTCCTCGACGCTACAAGCTAAGGCCTGAGGATCCAAGGCGTTATGGTTTGCTGTCCGGAGTCCCTGCACCATCAACAGAGGAACTTCTACAACACCTACGGACTTGCGGTGATGGTAAAATAAAACATTATGTGCCTTACATCTTCCACACAATAGTCCATTGCTAATTGAGTTTATTTTTTATTTACAGGTAAAGCTTTGCCACAGACATAGGTGTTGGGGGAAGCAAGAGAAAACCCAAAACCTTCTTTATTTTTGTTTCCTGTGTTATTATTATTTTTTTTTTAAATAAAGATATATTTTGGGGAAATAAGGACTAATAATTTAAAAATTTATGTAAAATGTTGGAGGTAGACATAATTTTTTGTTGTTGTGCAGGAGTTTTAAAATTTATGGTATTTTTACAAATGCAACACAGAGTTGTGCTTTAGAACACTTTATTAGAGCATCAAACAAAAATATATAAAAAAAACAAACTTATGTAAAATATCAAATATATACATTTATTTACAATCGTCTTGGAATAAAACCAGTGTAGTTACCATTGGGGTCAGGGAATTTTGCAGAATAAACTCCTCCATGTGTGGTACAGTTGAAATGCATGTCTGGGGAGGCTGTTGGCAGCATTTCTTTTCCAAATCAGTTGGCATATCTCTGCAGTGGGAGCATACACACCATGAAGGTTGATTGGGTGTTGGAGGTGTTGTGCCAGGTGGACCAGAGAGGGCAAGTACATCAAAGAGAACACCAGTGTCTGTCCAGCACCATGGTAAGGATGTCAATAGCCTGCTGAGGGTTCAGGTTCTGTATGTGTTGCTACAAAAGTGGAAAGAGATGCTACAGCAACAGTTATGCTTACACGTTCAAAGTCTATTCGCTCGGAACAAAGATTCCGAACTCGAGAGAGATCTTCATCTCCAAGGTCCACAGCTGAGTGTCTCACACTTCTTCGGCCTCTAGACGCACCACGGCCTCTGGATGCACCGCGGCTTTGAGATGATGGTGGGCATCTCCTTTTTGCACCACGTCTTGATGCAATAGGAGGTTCAAACTCTTCCTCTGAGGATTCCTCAATCACTGAACTCTAAATTGTATTAGAATAAAAAAAATTATACTAATATAAAAAGTACTCTTGCATATTAATCAATTTTGACACAGATCAGGTTTACATCTAGTCAAAATTTGGGCTAAACCAACAATAAACAAACCCTATGAAAACAACCATGATTATAGGAGGACTACACAGAATGCAGTGTTTATTCATGATTTCCACATAAATTATTTATATGCTTTGATATATTCATCCCATCTTGAATGGCAAAGCAATTAAAAATAAGCTAGTTACTTGTAATAAAATGCTAACAATTTGATAGGATTAATTTTATTTACACTATAGATTGCCAACTGTTACTGGTATTTTAAAATATATATTTATAGATATTCTTTATAAAATGCCTTTTGTAAACAGTAAGTGTTTAATGTGCTGGTTAAATACAACTTTCTTACCTCAGATAACTCCATTGCTAACACTAGCTCAGCTCTATTACAAGAAGCAATGCTCTGGTGTTGCTTTTCCTGCGCGTGCACATTGGGAGGTGTGGCTTTCGACTCTTTCAGGAAGGGCGGGGGAGTGAGCAACAGCCGTTGGAATTTAAAAATCTCCTCCTCCTCACCCTGACTGCGTCATCCTGCGGACTGTGCCTTTAAGAAGCCTTCTCTGGATCCAGATGACCCAATGAATTATAGACCAATATCTAACCTTCCATTTTTATCCAAAGTCCTGGAGAAAATAGTGGCCATCCAAGTATGTGAGCATTTAAACATTAATGCTCTGTTTGAGGAATTTCAGTCTGGTTTTAGAGAGTATCACAGCACTGAAACTGCATTAGTGAGAGTTACAAATGATATTCTCATGGCCTCAGATAAGAATCTTGTGTCTGTTCTAGTCTTGTTAGATCTCAGTGCTGCCTTTGACACAGTTGATCACAATGTTCTTTTAGAAAGACTTGAACATGTTGTAGGGATCAAAGGAACAGCGTTAGGCTGGTTTAAATCCTACCTGTCTGACAGATTTCATTTTGTAAATGTACATGACAAATCGTCTTCATACTACAGGGTTACTAGCGGAGTACCACAGGGTTCAGTGCTTGGACCAATTCTTTTTACTATATATATGCTCCCAATTGGTAAAATCAATAGACAGCATGGGATAAACTTCCACTGTTATGCTGACGATACTCAGTTATATTTATCCATTAACCCTGATGAACCTAATCGGTTGGGTAGATTACAGGCTTGTCTTGAGGACATAAAAAATTGGATGACTCTAAACTTTTTGCTTTTAAATCAAGACAAGATGGAAGTTCTCATCTTTGGACCAGAAATCCAGAAAAGGAAATTGCTTAGCCAGTCGCCTGACCTGAATTGCATTACATTAATCTCCGAGAACAAAGTAAGGAACCTTGGTGTTATCTTTGACCAGGACATGTCATTCAAATCCCAGGTTTGACAAGTTTGTAGGATTTCCTTTTTCCACATTCGGAATATTGCTAAGATTAGAAGCATACTTTCCAGGAGTGATGCTGAAAAACTAGTTCATGCATTTATTACATCAAGACTGGATTACTGTAATTCATTACTCTCAGGAAGTCCACAGAATGTAGTTAAAAGTCTTCAGCTTGTCCAAAATGCTGCAGCTAGAGTTCTGATGAGAATTAAAAAGAGAGATCATATCTCTCCTGTCTTAGCTTCCCTACATTGGCTACCTGTTAAATTCAGAATAGATTTTAAGATCCTTCTTCTCACATATAAAGCTCTTAATAATCAAGCTCCATCATACATCAGTAATCTGATTGTTCCATACGTTCCTAACCGAGCACTTCGCTCTCAGACTGCAGGTCTACTGGTGGTTCCCAGATTATCTAAAGGCAGATCTTTTAGTTATCATTAGGGCTGCAACAACGAATCGATAAATTCGATGAAAATCGATTACTAAAAGCGTTGGCAACGAATTGCGTCATCGATTCGTTGTGTTGCACAACTCTTCCAAAAGCCCCCTCCCCTCCCGCCCGCCGTTGCGCGCAGACCGGAGAGCCGGCGGGTGTTTGGAAGAGGAACATGGCAGAAGCAGCGAGACCCAAACAAAGTAAAAACTTCTAAAGTTTGAGAGCATTTTCAGTTAAATCAGGCGAAGACATTCGTTACCTGCAACGTTTGTAGGTCAGACTTAGCATGGCACGGGAGTACTACAGTGATGATGCAGCATCTTAAACGCAAGCTTGTCAGAATCATCAGCGAGGAAGGAGAGAGCTCGGTGTCCGGGTAAGTTAAAAACTTTTCAAAAGTGATTCACCCAAGCCCCGGATTATTACACAGGCTGGACATGCCCTAAGCTCGTTAAAAAAAGTCTATAAAATTGTAAGCGCGACGCTATTAGATAAACGGGGGAGGGGGGGGGGGGGGTGGGGGGTGGGGGGGGGGGGGGGGGGGTGGGGGGGTGGGGGGGGGGGGGGGGGGGGGGGGGACTCGCGCCGCTGCGAACCGGTTCCGCCGTCACATTCCCGCAGAAACTGGTTAATCACACCGAGGCCAGACTACTAGCATGTGGTTTTACAACCACAATGTCCTCTGAAGCGAAAACGCTTTTAAAAGGGAGGGAGGAGTCCTAACTCTCGCTGCAGGCGTGTTGTGTGAGAGTGCAGTTATATACTGGTTAATATATTTTTGGGTTCAGTTGCTTTCATGTGGCCTAATGTGAGTCTATTTGGGATCATTGGAATGATCAGCAGCATTTCTTGATGTGACTTTATGGCAGTTGCCCAGGACATCATCGCAAGGAGGATGGCATTCATTTACTTTTGTTTTATTTGGTATTTTTTCAGTCAGTTTTGGAAATAGTGATTAATTTTGATTAATTCACAGCCTATGTTTAATTACATTTAAAAATTAGTTGTTTGACATCCCCAGTTATAATAAATGTCTACAGATGAGATCAAACAAAACAGATGAGAATTGCCCTTAAAGAGCAAGTCACCTCAAATAAACTTTTTTTGCTGATAAACTAAATAAATGAGTGTCTAATCGTGCTGCAGACACATGTCGTCAATAATTTGGCACTTCAGTGCATCTTAGTTAAAATTTAAATATTCTGCCTAAAACTGGCAAAGTTATGCCATTGTCAGGTAAAAACTCTGCACTGCATTTGAATTTAGATCTGCCACCGCTATTGGCTAAGAAGTATGCTATGATGTAAACTGGTACATTATGATGTCACAATGCTGTCGTGAGCCTGAGTGTGTGTTTATTTGTTAGCGGCTCCGCCCCCTCGGTCTGCCAGGCAACAGCATGTGTTGCATTTATCAAACATGAAGTGGGAGTGGAGTTACCCCGCCTTTCCACAGGAGCCGTCAGCAGCACGTTACTGCAGCAGCACGTCATAGCTGCTGATAGGAACCGCTATGGTCAACAGAACCTTTACCACTGAAGCTGTCAGCAGCGCGAGTCGGCCGCGTCTCAGGAGCAGCATGTCGCGGCCTTTACGCGCCGGTTCTATTTCCTACACGCGACGCCTCTGAAACGGGTCAAGTTCGACATTTTTGGGGAAGGAAAGACAGGAAATCGGACGCAGAAATGGAGAGAAGCTCCCGAGATTTTCAGAATAAAGAAACGTACTGCCTTCCGGTTGCTTTACTTTTAAAAAAGTTACTAACTGTGCGTCCCCGTGAGAAGTTATCACCTAGCTAGCGGTCTCCTTTGTTTTTCAGGTCCGTATTGGCGATTATAAAACGGACAGAACATAAAACACAAACCATGTTGTAGTTTTCTCCTGCTTGTTGTTGTGTTTACTGACAAAGACACTCGTGTGACTTCGTGCTCGGTCGGTGACAGCTGCTCCCCTGCGGCTTCGCGTCTCGTGGGAAGGGCCAAGCAGCAGCTTACGCGAGCAAGATGTGCTGCTGCAGTAACGTGCTGCTGACGGCTCCGGTGGAAACCCGGGGTTAGACTCTGGTAGGGGTTGACTTGCTCTTTAAGCTGTTTAACTTGGACCAAGCATTTTAGGTCAAAGATAGGTGTAGCTTAGGGTCTCTGTCTATACACCTTATAAGACAATTTAGGTGATGGCATGTTGTTTTTTGAACGGTTTTCTAATAATGTTGTGTTTAATAAAGTGAAGGAAGGAGAAAAATAACGTTTCCCTAGTAGTTTTAAAAAATGTCCCTATGTAATCCGATTAATCGATTAATGGTGTCGAGACCCCATCCGATTAATCAATTATCCAAATAATCGTTTGTTGCAGCCCTAGTTATCAGGCTCCTCTCCTGTGGAACCAGCTCCCAGCTTTAGTCCGTGAGGCAGACACTTTGTCTACATTTAAGAATAGGCTTAAAACATTTTTATTTGATAGGGCCTATGGTTAAAATCTGATGTTAGCCTAGATCTGGACAAGTGGGGGAGTAGAGGGAGGTGGAGTGTACAGTCGGTAAAGACGGCTCTCTATCTCTGTAGTTATGCTGCTATAGGCTTAGACTGCTGGAGGATACACTGACCACTTCTCACACTCTACTACTTTCTTCTACTATCTGCTCTTTAACTGTACTATTTCCTGCTATTTCAGCTGTTAACTTCATTTTCTCCCCAGAAGAAGCTACAATGATGTTCTGCTGAACTGTGGTGGCCTCATGGAGGGGGCCATCGGCTAGCACACTGCTGCTAACCACTTAAACATTCTCCCTCTCCTGATAATAACTTTTTGCTTTCCTTGACGTTGGATGTGCTACTACTAGTTTATCCGTTTAATTATAGATCCACTAGGATAAATACAATAAAGTTTATCTCTCACCAAATAGAATATTTACTAAGAAATCACAATATAACTATAGACACATTACTTGTGTGTGCGTGTGCGCGCGCGCGCGTGTGTGTGTGTGTGTGTGTGTGTGTGTGTGTGTGTGTGTGTGTGTGTGTGTGTGTGTGTGTGTGTGTGTGTGTGTGTGTGTGTGTGTGTGTGTGTGTGTGTGTGTGTGTGTGTGTGTGTGTGTGTGTGTGTGTGTGTGTGTGTGTGTGTGTGTCTGCCTGCTCTGTCTTCTCCATCCCCAGTGAGTCGTGGAGGATGGCTGCTTATACTGAGCCAGGATTCTCTGGAGGTTTCTTCCTGTTAAAAGGGAGTTTTCCTCTCCACTGTCGCTGCATGCTTGCTTAGTATGAGGATTGCTGTATAGTCACTGACACTAGTCAGTGACTTGATGCAATTTGCTGGGTTCCTTATATAGGAAACATTATTTCTGATTGGCTTAATGAACTGACCTGAATTGGAATGTTTATTATGTGAAGTGCCTTGAGACGACTCTTGTCGTGATTTGGCGCTATATAAATAAACTTGAATTGAATTGACGCAGCTCTGCAATATCGCGTGGACATCGGGGGCAGTCCCACTGGACTGGCAGGCCGGGGTGGTGGGCCCCTTATTTAAAGAGGGGGACCGCAGGGTGTGTTCCAACTACAGGGGGATTACACTCCTGAGCCTTCCTGGTAAGGTCTATTCAGGGGTTCTGGAGAGGAGGGTCCGTTGGACTGTTGAACCTCAGATTCAGGAGGAGCAAAGTGGTTTTGGTCCTGGCCGTGGAACACTGGACCAGCTCTATACCCTTAGGGGGATCCTGGAGGGTGCGTGGGAATTTGCCCAACCAGTCTACATGTGTTTGTGGATTTGGAGAAGGCGTTTGACTGCACCCCTCGGGGGGGCCTGTGGGGGTACACCGGGAGTATGGGGTACCAGGCCCTCTGATACGGGCTGTTAGGACCCTGTATGACTGGTGTCAGAGCTTGGTCCGCATTGCCGGCAGTAAGTCGGCTCGTTCCCAGTGAGAGTTGGACTCCACCAAGGCTGCCCTTTGTCACCAATTCTGTTCATTACCTTTATGGACAGGATTTCTAGGAGCAGCCAAGGTGTGGAAGCCATCCGTTTTGGTGGCCTGAGGATCAGGTCTCTGCTTTTTGCAGATGATGTGGTCCTGTTGGCTTCATCAGAACGTGATCTTCAGCTTTCGCTGGAGCGGTTCGCAGCCGAGTGTGAAGCAGCTGGGATGAGAATCAGCTCCTCTAAATCTGAGACCATGGTCTTGATTCGGAAAAGGGTAGAAAGCCTTCTCCGGGTCAGGGATGAGGTCCTGCCCCAAGTGGAGGAGTTTAAGTATCTCGGGTCTTGTTCACGAGTGAGGAAAGCTGGAGCGTGAGATCAATAGGTGGATTGCTGCTGCATCTGCAGTGATGCGGGCGTTGTACCGGTCTGTGGTGGTGAAGAGACAGCTGAGTCAGAAGGCGAAGCTCTCGATTTACCGGTCGATCTACGTTCCTACCCTCACCTATGGTCATGAGCTTTGGGTAGTGACCGAAAGAACGAGATCACGGATACAAGCGGCAGAAATGAGTTTTCTCCGAAGAGTGGCTGGGCTCACCCTTAGAGATAGGATGAGAAGCTCAGTCATTCGGGAGGGGCTCGGAGTAGACCCGCTGCTCCTCCACATCAAGAGGAGCCAGCTCAGGTGGCTCGGGTATCTGGTCAGGATGGCTACTGGACGCCTCCCTGGTGAGGTTTTCCAGGCACGTCCAACCCAGAGGAGACCTAAAGGTAGACCCAGGACACGGTGGAGGGACTATGTCTCTCACCTGGCCAGGGAATGCTTTGGGATTCCCCCAGCGACCCGACTCCGGATAAGCGGATGAAAATGGATGAAAATGAAATGGTCCATGTCGTGCCACTTTTGTGCTAAAATATCAAATATGCTCAAGTCATCATCAAGTCAACAGATGCAAGTCGATTCAAGTCGCAAGTCATTGGTGTTCAAGTCCGAGTAAAGTCGTAAATCTTTATAGATTTTATCAAGTCAAGTCAGAAGTCATTAAAATAATGACTCGAGTCCAGGTCATGTGAATCAAGTCCACACCTCTGCTAATCAGAGCATAACGATCTTTAGTTCGTGGACCAGGAAAGTCACATTTTTGATAGTGCTGATTATACAACTAAAACTGAGCTGAATTTATTAAACAAAATGAAATTAAATAGAAATGTTATAAAGTGCATTTACATACCAGAAAAAGAATAGGATCTTTTTTTTCCCCAGATCAGCCAATTAAGCTGATCATGGTAATTATTGGCTGAATTTGACTGGCAGCCATCTTTTGGAACATCTCTAGTTTGTTGTCCTGTTTGGAGGAGATCCAGAACTAAACATCCCTTCCAGCCTGGAAACACTTCAGGATCCCTCAAAAAGAGCAGGAAACGTGGTAGGAGAGGGCCTCAGCATGACATCGGGACCTTTCAAGGAAATCTGGGACGATGTTTATGGCAATATTGCAAAAAAAGAAAAACTACAAGATAAAAAAAATCACTTCCTGTGGCTGCAGCATGTAGAATAAACGAGGACCGTTCCCCAGCTTTTACTTTCTATGATCTGTTTTGGATAAAAGAGTAAATCTATTCACAGGACCGACTGTTGTGCCCACTAGGTAATGCAAATGTATAACTCATATGGCAACAATCACGGCTGATACAATGATATCTCAGATAAGCAGAAAGAAGTGATGAAGAGCAATGTTAACTGGAACAAACACATGGTTGGTGCTCTCCCACACAGGTGAGTGCTGACATCACTACCAGCTGCTGAATCTAAAGCAGAGGGCGTGATACTATTAACGAACGTGATCAGACTTCCGTTTCTGAAAGACACATCAGGACAACCTGTTTTGAAAGAAAACAGCCAGTTTGTGAGCAGAGAAATGTCAGTTTGAGTCCTTCGTCTGTGAATCCACCACCTTCCTACCAGAAGCTCCACCTCAGGATGCAGGTACAATGATTATGTTTCCACTCCACTGAGCTGCAGGAAGGCGCTTTCTCACCTGATTCGCTTAAATCCCTATGAGGTCATTCATCTCAGGGGTTTGCCAGCTCTGTCTATGTCATACTGCAACACTAAGTCCCAGCATGCTGGTCTTGAGTGAACCACAAGGTCTGAAGGTCAGGACAAAGGTCAACTGGCCAAGGTTGGGAAGAGAATAGAACTAAAAGGTGCTTGGATGATGAATTTGTATTTTTCATAAGCAGTGTTCTTTTGTCTTTCTTAGCGTTGTAAATCATCAATTATCTCTTTATTTTCATGTTGGAACCTGATGGGATTTATCCGACCCAGCATGTACCGACTCGTAGAATACACAAGTCCTCATCAGAAAGCACCAAGACGGTACAAGCAGAGCTGCAGCTCACACACCGGGTTTGACAGCCAGAAAGCAAATCTGTTTAGGTTACTGATGAATTCTGGAGGACGTTCTGTTACTGAATTAGTTAGAAGTCCTCTTCCATTTGAAGAAGAGCTCTGCAGAGGCACGCTTTGGTTACCACAGCCATTTCTGACCACAATCTTTTTGCCTATGCCCTGAAACGGAGCATAACTGAAGAGCTGAAGCCTTTCTCCGACAGACAGGCAGACCATCAGCGCTGAGGTCATGAGAAACAATGCTGCAGATATCCAATTACACCAGCGTTCAGGAATTTCTGGCCTTATTTGGGGGCAGATAAGTATTTTGTGTTTTAGTTTCCCAAAAAGGCAACATGGGTGAAGATCTGATGTGTATCCTCGAAACGTGATGGTTTACGTGCTGCTGGGGGGGTGGAGGGGTCCTCAGCTAATGCAGCAGTTGGCTCTCTAATGGAGGGGTAGAGCTCAAGCCTTTGATCCGATGCTGGGCTGTGTGACGGCTGTTGGGGGGTGGCATGTCCTCTCAGCTAATCGTTTGCACGTTTACCCCGCTTTGCTCCACCGATGCACTTATTAGTGTTGCCCAGAGATCACACACACAAACAGATGAGGAAACAAAAAGCAGACTGCTCCCAAACACAGCAGACAGAGAAATCTCACACACAGCCCCTCCTCCCTCAGAGCGGTTCCAACCTTCTGTCCGGGTTCGGTTTTGCTGCTGATGTTGGGACGTCGGTCGACTGATCACTGCCGGTGTTTTCATCTGTAGTAAAATGGCCAGCACCACCCGAGGTTCCAGAGTTCCTGGAGGCCTGACACGGGTAGGAGGACATGTTGTCTGGAAGCAAAAAGGTTTCAGAAGGTTCAAGTGGGAAAATTAAACTTATGGTCCAAGTCTTCTGAAACTTCACACACCAAAGAGCCAAACCCAAAGAAAAACACACTCAACTACAAATTGATGTTCTGAACTTTAAACAGAGCGTTGTGATGGACAGATGGCCCATGCGTCTCATCTGTACCATCATGATGCATGTTCATGACCTAACGTTTACAGAAGGACTCAAACACTAACCCAACAACGTTTGCTGCCTCAGTGTTTTATGATGTCATCATATAATCCAGAATTTCTTAATGAAAATGTACCACAAGGCCCATCTTTGGCATGAAAATGAACTTTATACAAAAAAAAAACCTGTTACCAATATAAGAAGACCTCAAGAAGCCAACTGTCTTCTAATGTGGATCCAGCAGCACCAGGACCTTCTCCTGCCGCTTGGATCAGAGCACCACCAGCTTAGAACGGTCTCAGGAACAGCAGCAGGCAGGTGCGAGTAAACAGTGAGGAACGGACATTGTGAAAGGGGTGTTCGGGTACTGGCGTTGTGGATTTGTATTCCTAGTTTTAAAAGTACTCCGATACCGTGGAACCGATACCAGATCACACAGCATGATGCCGTGATCTGATCTGAGTGGGGGCAGGAGACATCAGCTACATCTGCAGCAAACTCTGAACACGACTAACTTTTCCAAGTCGTTGTACAGCAGTGTCTGTATTCATGCGGCCCAAATACTCATGGCACCTACGTTTGGTTTGGGTAAACTACTAACTGCAATTTAATTGAGTCGTCACTTGTACTTTACCCAAACGTCACTTTCATCCATGCATGCTGGTGTTGATGATGATACAGAGGGGGGTTGGGCATCGAGCATCGATCGGAACCGGTTCCAACTGTTAGTTTTTCCCAGAATCGCCCAACGTTTTCATTTCGATTCCTAGTATGCTGACGGAAGAGGAATCCGCGGCCGATCTCCGTGAAAAATAAAAGTGATCTGCAAATTGTGATCAACGCTTTTCAGAGCTGATCACAGCAGCTGTGTGTGTGCAGCACCGCCCCCCTCCCCCGCCCGGATATAAACAAACGCGTCTGCCGAACTTTTACTCGTGATGTAAACGTTAACTCCTGCAGCGTAGAGGAGACGTGTTAAATACGTCAACACGGTGGATTTAATAGAAGCTTAGAGAACAAACTCTGGACGGTGTGAGGTGAGTTTGTCTCACTGCAGAAATAACAACACACACGGAGCGTCAGCAGTCAGACGCAGCCGCTCACCAACACTCATGTGTGTGTGTGTGTGTGTGTGTGTGTGTGTGTGTGTGTGTGTGTGTGTGTGTGTGTGTGTGTGTGTGTGTGTGTGAGCGTCAGAAGGCTGAGCAATAACCTGTAGAATAATTAAAGTCATCATGCTAGAGCAGCTTCTCTGTGGTGGACCACACCAGCTTCTGCCACAATAAATAATAATAATAATAATAATAATAATAATTCACACACAAAGTTGTGAACATTTTAATTTCTGAACCGTTTCTGTTGAGTTTTAATGTTTAAACATGTTAGATTGTTACTGACAGCAGCTACGTTTAAGTTTCACTCCCTGTTGTGACTGAAGCTGCTGCAGCATGGAGGTGTAGTTCTCAGTCATCCTGGACATGATCATCCTGAGAGTTTTAGCTGAAAACAGCTGGATGTTTCTGGATATGTTGGAGACATTTAGCCTCTCATCCCAGAGGCTTCTTCCAGACTTTGGTTGTGGTCAGAAACAAACACACTGGTTGTGCTGCAAGTCTTTTTCTTTTGTCTCCAAAACATGTTTTTGTCTAAATGAAGGTGATGTTGTTGTTTATAGAATTAAAATTCATGTTGAAGTTAAGATTATTTCATCAATTAGGACCTGTGGTTAGCTGGCTCATGTAAAACATGTCATGTCTTCATAGAATCGGGAATCGATAGGAACCAGAATCGAAACAAGGAATTGGAATCGGAATCGTTCAAAATCAAACGATGACCAACCCTAGTACAGAGCATAACTCTAGTAGACTAGGAGGACCAGGACACGTGCTGACAGAGTGAGACACAAACACAGTGTGAGGTGAACTGGGTGTGAGGCTGAGCGAGCGAGCGACTAGAAGACGGACTATTCAGTTTAGTCTCCAGAGAGCATCCATGCTGGTCTTACTGGACCCATCCAGACTGTGTTACAGATCTGATGCCACATGGGCTTTGGTTTCCACTTGTCGCAGCACAGAGCTCAAGCAGCAAGTGCCAGCTTTTTTGATCAGGGAGCCTTTCTGAACCTGTTAGGGGCTCTGTAATGGATCAGATCTTCTGTTTGGATTTAACGATGCCTTAAGGTCAGAAACTCGTCATTTCCTGAGTGCCTCTTGCATTTTTCCCCCTGTGTTTATGAAACTCCATTTCCTGTTCAAAACACAAACTGTACCAGTCGGTTCCCATGGCTGAGAGTCCGAACTCGGTCCAAATAAAAGCTCTGAGACTGTGAACATCTGCAGGATGTTAGGACAGACAGACGGGACAGGAAATGGCTGCAGGATTTACTGCACCTGCAGGGGTCCACTCGGGTCCCGACGGATCTGGTCCTGAGACAGTCCAGACCGGAGTCACATCTCCCCCATGCTGCTCTTCCTGCCACGGGACAGAGTCCGGGACAGCCCCCTCTGATGAGGGACAAGTGGCCGCCATCTTGGCAGGACTGGGCTCCTAAAGGTCATCACAGAAACAAACAAACCGCAGCATTCAAATTCGCTTTCATCTAAATGAAGATTCAGCTTTTAAACAATATGCATGAGAGAATAAGCAGATGGTTTATTGATGCTGTTGTCAACAACTCCTTCTGAACATTAATCATGTTATATCCGTTTAGTGTTTTCTTTGGTCAAAATACCATTTTTATATGTTAGCAAAACAGAATCCAAGACCAAAAATAAACTAAATATATTTTCATTAGTGTTCACTTGAAGTAATTTTACACCTAAAAATAATAAAACAATAATAAAAATGATCTAATTCAAATGTTGAGCTCAAAGGTTACTTCCAGAAATACAGTACTGTTCTGTTTGTTGGGCAGATTCATAATTATGTATTTCATAACAGAATGATTCATAGTTCATCCTGTAGAAAACACAACGTTAGTGAAAGTATATTCAGTTAAATGTTTATGTTTGTGTTGCCAGTTTAACGTGTTAAAGTGTGATTGTTCACACTTCCTGCTTGAATCTGTGTTTTTGCTCCGAGTTCTGGTTCTGACAGAACTCCGACATGGCTGCTGACTCGACACGGTGGTCGACTCTGAGAAAAACGTGAGACCCGTGCAGGTATTCTGCAGCACTCACACACCCTGATAAGGTGTTCAGATGGTTCTCACATTCGTGTTCCTCTGAGATAAGACCCAGTTTATGTTCTAATGGGTCGGGTCAGTGAGTAGACCTCCTCTCTTATACCTGATTGGCTACAGGCTCCACTTTACGTTTCTTCTTTTGATTCTGTTTGTTGGGTCGTAAGTAAACGGCAAGCTGTTCGTTCCACCTGGTGAACACAGAGTCAAAACATCACGATCGGTCATCAGAGCTTCTGGAAGGTACCGCTGGTTCTGCACTGACCCGTTGATGACCTCTTTGTTGTCGCCGCGGATGAAGATCTCCTGTGATGGCGTGGTGATGCACAGAGCGTTTTTCTGACCCGTTCTGGGTTCTGCATCGGTGATGTCTGTGCAGAGATTCATGTTGACCGTCCCCTGAGGTAACGTGCTGAGCTGCCAGAGAATCAGAGCATCTTCATCACACTCACAAAGGTCAGAGGTCATGAAGGAGTAAGAGATGAGCCAGTTTATAGTGATAAGTGTAGAATGAAAAGGCGGACGGAATTGGATCACAAAGAGCAGAGTGGATCAGGGTGGGGGTTGCTCTGGCATGACAGGCTAAGCCCAAATCATCTGCTGTGGTTCTGCGGATGGCATCTGGCCCAAAGCTGCCAGCTTAATCCCAACATGCACAAACACAACCAGCAGCAATGTGCACACGAGTAGAGTTAGCCTACCAGCTCGTCCAGCGCGTAGCTCAGGCTGCCGTGTTCGTACAGGATGAAGAAACGCCGCTGCCACTTCTGACAACAGGACAAGAAACTGAATCAGCACAGAGCCATCATTCCTGAAGAAGAGCTCAGAGCTTCAACATTCCCTACCCTGGACCTCTGCATGGGGTTGGCAAAATCTGTCCCAACAGGTGCCAAACATAACCAGCTGGCATAGATGGGCTTGGCCTGGAAGGGAAGAGCAGTGCCAGCATCATCAGGTTATTGTTCCCTTTAGAGTTGGTTTTACTCACATGCTTGTTTCCGTAGGAACGGGCCACATCACATCATTCACCATAATAACCCATTTTTCTAGTACTGGAGAACCCATCTGAGATGCTAACTGCATGGTGCGAATGCATCCACTTTATACTCTGGCCAGGGATTTGTCCCACCTCCAGCAACAATCTGTGACAGCTACTCCTCGCAGCTACAGGCTACTCTAAAACACAAGAGAACACATTTATTCTGTAACAGGTACAATTATTTAACTATTAGGGATGCACCGATTTCACGTTTGAGGGCTGATGCTGACTTGCAACACTTGTTTTTCTTGCTGATTCCAATTTAATCCAAAGAATTTTAACTACCAGAAAACTGTTGATGTCAGGCTAACTCGTTATTCTGGAGGTAACAACTCAGAACACTAAACATCTGTAATTGCTGGTCTACGAACTCACAGTGAAGATCGGGAAAAGGTTGGGCTTTTCTTTTTTACTGCCTGGCTCGGGTGCGTTCACGAACCAAAGACAAAAAAAACATCACTTTTTCTTTAGGATCAAACTCTTATAACAAGCCAGCCTTTATGGTGCCTCACTGTGGAACATATCTACATGTTGGTGTTTTCTTTAGTAGGACTCATTTCATTAGTAGAAGTTTAATTCTTTTCTTTTGTCTTCATTAAGTCAAATAACCTCCGATATTTGTTTTCTATAAAACAAAGTTTAAAAATGCTACAAATGCCCACATTTAAAAAAGTGAAAGAAAAAAACTGTGGAACTTTCTCTGTCGATAAAGACTTATTTGTAAGATTTATTCATGAAAAAGTTCACCTTAAACCCGGTTCACACAGCGGGATCATCATGCCTGTTTTTACCCTTCACTCATACTCTTAATCCTGTACATCTGTTAGTGGTCTCCAGTCGGAGTTTTTGCCACGTAAGTCATGCTCTGTTGGTAAAAAGGCTCTGGTGCATCAGCTGATGGATGTAGGAAAAAGCAGCTTCAGACGGCAGGATCTGGGGTCTTATTTCCTGATATTTGGACATTTCACCTCTGATTGGCTAACAGCAATGCACCTCTATGACTACCACTGACTGTTTGCTTAGAAATGTTGGTGTTTTATCTCCACAGATAACAAAAGCTTGAAGGAGTTCTGCAGTGGGGTGGAGATGCTAATGCTAATAGTTAGCTTCTACTAGCGGAGACATTCTCTGCGGTTTCCGGTACGCTAAACCAACAATAGCCTTCCAGTCGTGAGTTAAAATGGGTGAGTCCAGTATTTTCATGTTCAGCCTGCATGAAAAACCCAGAGTGACCAATTATTCTCAAAAATAGTAAATCTAAAATGGTTTGGACCTGGGGAAGGACCTCTTTAAAGATTTGCTGATTACCTCAACAGCTCTAAAGATATTTTTATCATCATGTCTGCTGAGTGTGGTGGTTGTGAGCGCTCTGGTCTTCTCTGAAGGACGTCAGGGCCACTCCAATCATAAATCCAGGCTTTCAAACACGTTCAATTGTCTTTATTTCATTTTTGGAGGCAAACCAGTGTTCTGCCTGTTTAATGTGTCGTATAGCCAATCAGAAGCATGCAGCTTGCTTCTGGTTGCCTGTGGAGATCCAATATGGACCGGGACTGTTAAATTACAAGCAGACCCTCACACTGCTGCTTTTACGGTGCCAGCTAGGGCAGGGCAATAGGGCCAAAAATATTTATCAAGATATATATTTGAAAATTTATGAGAACGATATAACTGTCGATATGACTGATGCGAGGCAAAGTACTTTACAAACTCACAACTTTATTAGTGCAAAGAACCCACCAACAAATGTTCACTTAAGTAGCAGTTTTTACGTGCATCAAAACTACATTATACCCTAAACCTTTGCCTATATTTTCCCCGGTATGATCCTCGGGGGAAAAACTTGTTTCAAGGCACTTGTTTTGTAGCTTCCAGTCTTTGTCCACGTAATGTATTGTGAGGCTCATGTAGGGGTCTTATGTTCGGCTTGACCACATGTCCGTGGTGAACGCAAACAACTCCACAGACGATAATGCATTTGACACCTCGGTACGAACCTCTTCATATAAAGCAGGCAAAGCGACTTTAGAGAAGTATTTCTTGGTGGACAGCTCGTAGTGTGAATCACATGTTTTAAGCATCTTTGTGAAACCTTTTTCCACACTCTGGATGGGCATCATATCCATGGCTAAACAACGCGTCACTGCATTAGCTAGTTCTCCCCAGCGTTTGCTACTTTAGTCATACGGGGTGCAGCTATTTATAGCTGCACTGATTGTTGAGTCAGCTTCTTTGATCTTACCATCGCACTTGGAGGCAGCAGTAGCATTTGCTACAGTAGCATTTGTAGCAGTACAGTAGCTATTGCAGCAGTAGCTCAACAGGTTGAGCGGGTTGCCCAGTAATCGGAAGGTTGCAGGTTCGATACCGGCTCCGGACAGAGAAATCTGCTGTTGTGTCCTTGGGCAAGACACTTAACCCACCTTGCCTGCTGGTGGTGGTCGGAGGGACCGGTGGCGCCTGTGCTCGGCAGCCTCGCCTCTGTCAGTGCGCCCCAGGATAGCTGTGGCAACATCGTAGCTCATCGCCACCAGTGTGTGAATGTGTGTGTGAATGGATGAATGATACACTGTAGTGTAAAGCGCTTTGGAGTCCTTACTCTGAGAGGCGCTATACAAGTGCGGCTCATTTATCATTTGTTGAAGGGGACGCCTCTTCGCGTGCTTTAACAGCTTTGTTGTACTTCAAATGATGAAATAGGGTTGTGGGGTTTCCTCCCTTCGCCACGACGGCCCGCCTGCATGTTCTACAAAAACTTGTGCTTTGTTGGGTATCTGGCGGGCGGAAACCGAACCAGTTCTACACCACTGAAGTTGCACCTTTTTTAAAAACAAATTCATTCAACAAGCCGCTGTCGCCCTTCTCCTCCGTCGTCGCCATGTTTTTTCCGCCATGTGCGTATGAGAACAAAGGCACTGCGCAAGCACATTTTACCCATTCTATTCTATCAGGATATTTCATTATCGTTGCTCAACATTGTACCGGTATTACCGTGCCAGCCACTGGTGAATGAGGGTGGAACGGCAATTGTTGCCACTTCCTTATTGGCTTCAGGTCTGAGAGCCTAGGGACCCCCCTTGGTTGTCACTCATGCTTTAAAATTTGTCTGACTGAACCAGGACTAGACTTAACTCCAGAAACAAACTGGGTCTCTGACAGAAACCTAAAACCAAAAGACTTCCAGGTCAGAGGAAGTGCTTCTGAATCAGATGAACAGTTTTTCCTGGTGAGTTAACAAACAACCAGACATGACTGGTAAAGACGACTAAAACCTCAAACAGAGAAATGCTCCCCTGTGTTTTCATACACAGATCCAAAGATTACTACTCAAAAGAAAATAACACACAGTGCTCTGGCACAGCAGTGCTCTAACAGTGTGTGTGTGTGTGTGTGTGTGTGTGTGTGTGTGTGTGTGTGTGTGTGTGTGTGTGTGTGTGTGTGTGTGTGTGTGTGTGTGTGTGTGTGTGTGTGTGTGTGTGTGTGTGTGTGTGTGTGTGTGTGTGTGTGTGTGCCCTGCTGGCGGTGTCAGACTGGAGGAGTGTTTGCAGGTTGAGTATAACAGAGCTGAAATTACAGGGTACAGTGGAACCAGGCAAAGGGACGGAGTGTTTTAACACATCAGAACAATGTGAGGCACGCAGGACGCCATCATGATTGATGACATCACCTCGACATGACGCATCTTTTTCCACAGGGCAAGGAACAGCAAAGTCAACACAAACTGAATAAATATTCAGATGAAGACTTGTGGGACTTGGTGGATCGGCTGTCTCGTTTGGACCAGTTCCAGTTAAACGCCTCTGGCACCAGTGAAACCTGCCTTTACTTTTAATGCAGAAACATTTTATAAACCATACATTTCTATTAAAAATAAGTTAAAATACAGATTATTCCATCATCTTAGTTTCCTGCTGATCCGAAGACTTTTTTCAGGAAACAGAGTCCAGCTCTCATCACCTCGGTGCGCTCTTAAACTTCCTCCCTCGTATCATGTTCACATGCTCGGTGGTTCGTGTGCAGAATGTGTTCACGAGTTCTGAAACGGTGCTCGCAGCAAGCAAGCAACAAACTTAAAAACCAAATGAAATTTGTAGGCATTAATGCAATAATAAATGATCTACTTTGTCAGTCAGTTGTTTAATAAATGTTTAAATTAAGCAGTTAAGCTTAAAGAAAACCTTTTACAAAAATAAAATATATATAAAAAAATTCCAAAACAAATCAACACTGAACATCGGCGGCCCCAATTTCTAAAATATGTCATCGGCCTTAAAATCGTCCTTATCGTTCAATGGTTGGTTTGAAGCGTCAACGTTGGTCTAACTGTGCCGATAAGCTAAACAGGACTTATTCATGCTGCTACAACTTTAAAGTGGCAGTGTGTAGTTTCCTGGCACTAGGGGGCAGTGCATTCATTTCAGGGTAGGTTTACACCATATCACTGTAACGGTCACTGGTTTAAAAAAACATTACGGTAAATGTTGTTAGCTGTGGAGCAGAAAGCATGCAACCTCGGCAAAACTCCTCAGACTTTGATGGTCCTTCAGTTAACTCCAGGGAGAGAACGCAACGCTGACGCTAGTTTTCTGGCGCTGTGGTTTCTGGATCTGCTCGGGATCCTGCACCTTCCAGTGATGTCAAACACAGCTTGGCCAAAATATACTGCATCTCTTTTTTGATTCTGCTCTTTCACATAGGTTTTGGAAAGAGTTTAGCAGTTTTGTTATTAAATATTGCATATTATGTATATAAATATAAATAAATAACATTAAATAATGTCCTTATAACTGTAATTAGTTAATAAAACAATATATTGTCTGTTTTTTTTAAGAATGTGAAACTACATCAAACCGATATCTGACTGTGCCAGAAAGTACAACAGTTCTTATTCTTTAAAATAGTTCACATATAATTAGCAGCCCTTCATGTTTTTATAAGTGGAATTTTTCGGTTTATTTTGTTAGCTCATAAAAATAAATCTGTTTATTTAAAATGTTTATACTTATTTGTTCAATAAAGTTCTTTTAAATGTTGCCCTATCTCATCAAAATCAGAGCTCAGGGTCTTGGTTTTCAGTTGATATTTGTGCTTTTACATTTCCTTTCACTTGTTTTCCCCACACAATATTTTTTTTACTACAGGATTACAGCCTCAAGGACTACAACTGTCAGGACCAATCAAAACCTTCTGTGTCAACGTGCTAACATAACTTTTATGAACATGGAAATGTAACTTCCATAAGTAGTACGTCCAACCAATCATCGACAGCATTCTGACTCAGCTCTCTCTTCACCACGACAGACCGGTACAACGCCCGCATCACTGCAGATGCAGCACCAATCCGCCTATCGATCTCACGCTCCAGTTTTCCCTCACTCGTGAACATGACCCCGAGATACTTGAAGCAGGACCTCATCCCTGACCCAGAGAAGGCATTCTACCTATTTCCGACTCAAGACCATGGTCTTGGATTTAGAGGAGCCGATTCTCATCCCAGCTGCTTCACACTAAGCTGCAAACCGCTCCAGTGAAAGCTGAAGACCACTGTCTGATGAAGCCAACAGGACCACATCATCTGCAAAAAGCAGAGACCTGATCCTCAGACCACCAAAATGGATGCCCTCCACACCTTGGCTGCACCTAGAAATCCTGAACAGAATATGTGACAAAGGGCAGCCTTGGCAGAGTCCAACTCTCACTGGAAACAAGCCCGACTTACTCCCGGCAATGTGGACCACGCTCTGACACCGGTCATACAAGGACCTAACAGCCCGTTTCAAAGGGCTGGTACCTCATACTCCCAAAGTACCCCCCACAGGGCCCCCCGAGGGACGCGGTCAAACGCCTTCTCCAAATCCACAAAACACAAAGACTGGTTGGGTAAACTACCACGCACCCTCCAGGACCCCCTAAGGGTCTAGAGCTGGTCCAGTGTTCCACAGCCAGGATGAAAACCACATTTCTCCTCCTGAATCCGAGGTTTGACAAACCGAGGGACCCTCCTCTCCAGAACCTTGAATAGACCTTACCAGGCAGGCTCAGAATCTTACTAGTGACACCAAACCAAGATACCGTCTGGAAATTTGTACTTCCAGAGTCATGATTTCCATTTATTCAGGATTTTTTTCTAAATTATTTTAATCATAGTTCATTCAGCAAGTCAGAGAAAAAAATCTTAAATATCGGCTCTCAGAACCAGAATTAGTGCATCTCTAACTTACTGTGTTGTTATTTAACCTTGATAGTATTTTATTTAAATGAACACCAGATACACCATGGAGATGATGAAAAACTGTCTAGAAACAAATCCCAACTTTAAGAAAAGTTTAGCTTTTTTCACTCAAACTTACTTAGATTATTTTACACGTTTTTTAAATAAATTCTGTTATTTTACCAGGAGATTGAGGCTAAAACGCGGGTTGATTATGGCAGACAGCTGGTGAGATACAGGTTAATAACTGCGTCAGACTTGGGAAAATAAACATCATTTCACCGAATGACCCGGACTCACGGGTACCTGCTGCTCCGACCCGTTAAACTGTCACCGACCTGCTCCATGTCTCCGTCGGACAGCAGATGCACCTCCCGGGACTTGAAGCAGTTCTGACATTTGGTTTTATTGAAGATGTTCGGTTGGAACTTGTTGCAGGAAGTTCCGACAGCCTTCTCCCCCGACATGTTTCCGTCAGAACCAGAACCCGTCTCCTTAGCGGTGGGAAGTCTCTGAACACCGCCGGTGCTCCCGCCGCTTCTCGGCATTCTCCTTCAGGTACAACTGTCAAGCGCAGAGAGCCCCAGCGACTGTCGTCACGAGCCGTGCTCTGACTATTTATACCAACCGTTCATTTCCGGTCTGGACCTCCAAAATAAAACCAACTAGATCCTGTTTGCCAAAATTTCTGCATTTTTGTTGGTGCTGGAAAAACAAAATTATTTGGCGGTATCTCAGATAAGAAGCATAACTGTGATACAGTTGTTGTTTATAAAACAAAGGAAAACAATTCAACTGACCACATGACAAATTATTATTATTATTATTATTGTTATTATTATTATTATTATTATTATTAGTAGTAGTAGTAGTAGTAGTAGTAGTAGTAGTAGTAGTAGTAGTAGTAGTACATGCTGAAGTGTAAAGCGCTTTGGAGTTCACTGACTCAGACAGGCGCTATGCAAGTGCGGCTCATTTATCATTTCTAGTATTTGTTTTGATGGCTGCTGTCAGTAGGCTATAAAATGCTGAACGTGCATACTGCCCTCTGGTGGAGCATCTACAGATCACCAAGGGAGAATTTATTTTTTGTTTCTATTATAAATATTTATTTTGTACACAAGCGATGCAAAAATATGGAAGCCCATTCCCGCCACTCAGATAAATAATAATAATTATGAGATCATCATTGTTATTATTTTTATCCGAGTGGCAAGAATGGACTTCCATACAAAAAGAGCAAACAAAAATCAAACATCAAATAAAATAAACACCTACATTATATTGTACAAAAGACCTTCTCCAGAGCCTCTCCACACCTGAGATATCTTGTACTTATCTTTCTAGGCATTAAGGCACTTATTATTTCATTGGAAACCTCAAGTCCACAATAAACATATACACACGGAGGACTTACAGTTGGTAGACTATAATATCAGTATACATTTGTTATGTTACCTTTAGCGAATACATAGCTATGTTTTAAAACCTAGATTCTTCATTTAGACAATGTTTTGTCACTTTAAAGTTTACAATCGCAACCACACAACACCATAAAACAACCAACAGAACAAAAATGAAGAAGTAAAAGTCTGAAGAAGACTAGCTAAGAACAGCAACTGTTTGACTTGACCCAGACTTCAGCAACAGAGTTTATCCATTTCACACAAATAATAAGCTACGTGATGCTGTTTGACTTGAATAGCTCAGACTCGCGCCATCTCCATATCAGCTTTTCCAGCTCTCTGTTGACACTTATTCTGTTCCTGAGCTTTGGGAAAAGTCTGTTGTTATCAGTGATGGAATGCAACAAAGAAAAAGTACTTTGTTACTGTACTCAAATACAGTTTTTCTATATTTGTACTTTCTTGAGGCCTATGTTTTACTTTTGCTCCACCACATTTAATAAAAAGTTTCAAAATTAAAAGTTTATGATTTTATTGTCTTCATTTCTGGTCATGCAGGTGAGTTAAATCAGGATCAAGTGTAAACTGACCAGCTTCTATGAAACAGCTTTAGTCTCTGTCAGCATAAGCAGCAGGGCCCTACAGGGAATAACCCCCACCAGAGTTCTGTAACAAGAGCCTTCTGCTCTCATAGACAACGTGAAGCGGTAAAGCAAAACCTGCATCGACACAGGATTTAATGTTTGTGGAACATAAATGCTGTTTTGAGGCAGGGAAGAATAAACTGCTAGAATTAAAAATGATTTATATTTCCAACATTTTTCAATCATTTTAATATTTTATAGATATTTTTATAGATGAATAAAACTTCCTTCTTCGACTTTTATTATTTTCTTTAGCTTCTCATTATTTTAATATCTTGTAAGATGGTTATCTTTTCTTTTGAGAGAGTGTCCTCACCAACAGCATCCTGGTGTGGTACAGCAGCAACTCTGCCCTGCAGGAAGTAACCAAAACTGCAGAGAAAGTAACAAACACACACCTGTCTTCCCTGGATGACATCTTCACTTCTCGCTGCCTTCAAAAAACCACAAAACACCCTAAAAAACTCAACCCACCCTGCTAACCAGCTCTTCAGACTTCTTCCATCTGGTAAGTGATACAGGGCAGTAATAACACACCACCAGCTTTCATACAACAGCCATCACTGAACTGAATGTTGCTGCTAGGAGGTCACACTAATGGTGATTCTGCTGGACAATCAGTGCACTACAGCACCTTTACATTAAGCTAACTAACCCTAATACCTCAACACGCGACTGTTTACATTTATATTATGTTCACTTTATATTTCAGTTTGCAGTTTAGACTTGTCTTATTACCAGTTTACATTATACTTTTACAATTTTGCTCCTTAAACTGGCTGTGTGTGTGTGTGTGTGTGTGTGTGTGTGTGTGTGTGTGTGTGTGTGTGTGTGTGTGTGTGTGTGTGTGTGTGTGTGTGTGTGTGTGTGTGTGTGTGTGTGTGTGTGTGTGTGTGTGTGTGTGTGTGTGTGTGTGTGTGCTCTGTCTTCTCCATCCCCAGTGAGTCGTGGAGGATGGCTGCTTATACTGAGCCAGGATTCTCTGGAGGTTTCTTCCTGTTAAAATGTAGTTTTCCTCTCCACTGTCGCTGCATGCTTGCTTAGTATGAGGATTGCTGTAGTCTGACACCAGTCAGTGACTCGATGCAACTTGCTGGGTTCCTTAGCTGCTGGACAACACCATCCAGAAAGGTAGAGCTCAGCTGTCCATCAAAACACAGAGGCACCGCCCTTCACGGTCACGTTACCGTGACAGCGTGAGCTCCACGGAGGGTGACGACGGCTTAGACAAGAAGGGAACACTTGTCCCATAACTGGCACGTTTCTTGTTCAGCAAACTCTGCTTTTAATACCAGGACAGTCCAGTTCAGTCTACCCGCTCACCTTTACACCTGACCATGAGAGGCTCCTCCCCCTCTCCTGATTTGCTGGAGTCCTCCCGAAGCCCTGCCTTCTCCTTTGATGCATCGTTGGTGAGGCCAATCGAAAAGCAATTAACATTTTAGGGTTTAAAGTAAAATGTTAAAATAACACTTCTTTCTCCTTTATTATACTTTTTCAGGTACGACACTCTCCAGAGGATGGAGGCCTTTCATTGGCTGCTCCACCAAAGGGTCGGTACAAACAGCTGACCAATGCAACATGTCATGAGGCTTTGGTGACACCAAACAGCTCACCATATAAATCCTGCCCATCCTCCGACAGCTCACCTGTCTACATGAGGAGGAACAGAAGGCCAGACAAGGAAGGTAAGCACACCTGGATGCATGTCTGGAGACGGATCAATGTTTCTTTCATCTTATTCTAAAGCACACCCAAACCTGTCCAGATGACCTTCACAGTGGTTCCTGTTTTTGTGTTAGATCTGGGGTGAGACTGAGCTGCTGTTTGTAAATTGCTGTTTAAATTTAAATGGGTTCTTATTTAACTTCTGATCCATTTGGACCAGTAGTGATTCTTCACATTACATTATGAGCAGCTTCAGAAGTAAACATTTGCCTAAACTGGAACCAGTTATTCAGGTCCTGTATTATTAAAAAGAACCAAATGAATGGGAACCAAAACGCTGTAAAATAGTTTTTGAAGGGAACTCTGAAACCCAAATGACAAAACATGTAGCTGCTGATGGGTTGGATCAGGTTCTTCCAACCCATTTGAAATGGCTGTTTCTTAATTGTTGTGTTTTCGAGTTTACTTCTGGGCTTTTTGTCTCCATCAGAACTCATCTTGTCTTACCTGTTCAGCTAGTGTTCAGCTGGTGTTCAGCTGGTGTTCAGCTAGTGTTCAGCTGGTGTTCAGCTAGTGTTCAGCTAGTGTTCAGCTGGTGTTCAGCTAGTGTTCAGCTAGGTGTAAGAGGTAGAATGTCACCAATAAAACAGCGATAATAAAACAGTAAGTGTCTCTGGTTCTTTGTGTCTTCAGGGTGACACTCAGACGTTCCTACATCAGAGTGAGGAAAGATAAATCCAGCAGGCTCTCTGTAGGCAGCCGGTGGGTCTAACAGGCAAAGATCGGGGCTCCACATTGACCAGAGCTGGTCAGTAAGACAGTTACTTTATGTTTGGACCTCAGAGAACCGTCTGAGAGTCCATCTCGCTGCTCTGCATCTTTTGTCTCTTTCTCCTGGTTCACTGAAGGTCGAGGATCATTTTCCTCCTCTGGGACTCCTCCATGTTCACCCAAAATAGCACCACTGAGCCCACAGAGGCCCTGAAAGTCCCACTTGGTTCTGATTGAAACCTAAAGTCTAACCAGTAGATTTGACTGAATGGTTTAACTAAGAAACAAAAACAGTTCTTTTATTGTGAAGGGATCTTAAAGGAATGGTTTGGAATTGGGCATTATAAACAAATTTCTTACTTCATGTTTGTTTTCATGGAGATTTGTTTGAGGCCCTGTTTGTCCCATGAAATTGATTAAATGTGCTTCCTGCTGAGAAGTGATAAGGTGGACCGAACCACTATTAATTGACAATTTTATGAGAAAAACATTCAGTCCTTGTCTCCGTGTTTCCCACAGGAGTCCACCCTCAGTGAGGAGTTTTCTCCCCTCCACACTTCCTCTTCCACATCTCCTCCTGTTCCTACTGTCAAGTCCTCCTCTAGATCCTCTCTACCATACCGGACCCTGTCTCAGTCCTCCGATGAGGTAAACATGAATATCTGAATGTCTAAATCTTCTTTTTAGATTTAATTCTCCTCTTCCTCCTACCTGTCAGCCTGGTGATGAACCGTCCTCCTCCTCTTGCTCTTGATGAACATAACATCTATGATAGCTTCCAGTCAGGTTTTCGTAGAGCTCATTCTACTGAAACAGCTCTTCTTAGGGTCTCTAAGGACATTCTGACTCACAGTGATGTAGGGGACTGTTCTGTTCTGGTCCTGCTGGACCTGACTGCAGCCTTTGACACTGTTGACCATCAACTGCTACTGGAGAGGCTGAGAGACTGGGTAGGCCTATCAGGATCTGCTCTGGAGTGGTTCTCCTCTTATCTCTCTGAGCGCTCCTTTTCTGTGACCGTCTCCAAGTTTAGGTCCTCCACCACCTCCCTTACCCATGGTGTCCCACAAGGTTCTGTGCTGGGGCCTCTGCTCTTCCTCCT